AGTTAGATAGTTTAGTAACTACATTTGGTGATAAATTAGAAATGGTAGGAGTTTCAAAAATGATTTAATTACTTAATTGTAAAGATTTACCATTTGGGAATCTAATTTATTAGAATAAAATTAATGGAAGAAACAATTCAATTAATTTATCATCTAATTCACTATCTATAACTAATATATTATTTCCAATTTTATTTAATATTTATGATATAATACCATCAGATTCAAAAGATCCAAATAAATAATTTAATGGATAGGAAGATAAGTAAATTTTTTAATAATTAGATAGTTAACTAATTTATAAAGATTTACCTGTTAAAGATTCTCCAAATAATAATATATAACAATTATTAATTAGTAGATCTTTTAATTAAGGTTTGATTTCCTCTTATTTTGGCCATATGGAATGAATTATATCTTAAAATTCTGGTTCTTAGAAATTTATTGATATGGCATTGTACATTCCATCAGTAATAGATTATTTAATAATTTATTTTATCTTAAACATAGAAATATCACTCCTTTTTATTGATTGATAAAGACAAACAAATTATTTAAGTTATGTTATTGAATCATGTAATTCATATTCTTAACATAAAAAATCTATAAAAATAGATAAATCTATTTTCTAAAAATAGATAGGTCTAAAATAATATCTTATTTCAGAATTAATTGTATTTTTAGTACCACCAATTAAAAAGAAAGAGAAGGTTGGTTCAACTTTAATTGTGGAACCTTCTAATTCAATTTAATGAAGAGAATTACGTATGGCAAAGTATAATACTTTTACTAACTGAACAAATATGGATAATAAATCTAATTTCATCTAATTTACTAATTTAAACATACTTCAGAACATTTGGTCAAAGCAAAAAAGGATCCTGTTGCACTTACTCCTTTACAAAGATGAGTAAGAATTTAATAATTACTTAATTCTGCATTCATTACAATAAAGTACTTTCCTAAGCAATTACTAAATTGTTTAATTGTTTCTATTTTACCACTATTTCCATAAAGAAATGATCCAAATTAAGTACTTATAGCAAATGCCAAATTTGCATAACATCTATCAGTTTAAGGAGTTTCAATAAATAAATCACTATCCTAAAGAAATTCATAATCATATTAAAATTTATAATTGAGAAATTAAATTATAATCTCTTAGTTTTCATTTAAATAATATTTCAATTAAATTTGATATTCAAAACTATCAGGTGAAATTTATGATAAATGCTTATATTTGTAATTTCTATTATTTTTATAATCTTTAAATTAATCATCTAAATGTTATGTCCACTCTATCTTTTCCATTAGAATTTTAATTTATTTACTTTTTGTAGATTTTAATATTTAATTTTTTAAGGTTTTTCTCATTACTTAAATTAGATCATGTAACCAATCTTCTACATTTTTTGAATAGATCTTAATAGTATCTATATTCAACCATTCAATTACTTTACCAAATTTATCTTATATTTATAATTAAATTATTCCATCTTCATCAATTTCAACTTTATTAAATAGAAATATTTAATCAATAAAATCATTAGGTTTTGTAGATTTACTTTGAATGAGTAAGATTTATTAATTGGATAGAAAATGAAATCTTTAAAATATTTCTCTCTTTTTATCAATATAATTACTTAATGATTTTTCTATCATTTATAATTTATGTATTTATTCTTCAATTTAATTAGATTTATACTTATATATCTATTATCCTGAGAATTCATTAGTTGACATTTTCCAAAATTTCTCTACACTCTTAAATCTAGTAACTTCAATAGGTAATTATTTTTATAAATCATTTTATAAAAATACTGGATGTATATATGAAAACAATTATTACATCTAATCAAATTATTAAACAATAGTTTATGTATATATCATTTAATTTTCTAATTAAGCTAATTCTTATTTCCAAGGATCATGATATTTAGATTACAAAATAATACTTAATGAACATAAAGAATCATCTAATTTTTATAATAATTAATCAAGATTAATTAATTTATTAAATTATAAATTTTGTAACTATACTCTAGGTTTAATAATCTAAGCAGTTAAATTATGAAAATCATTGCATAATTATAGATATGTCTACTCAATTATTAATTCTTATTTTGCAATTAAACTAATTTTAATGACTTATTTACTAAAATCTTCATAAAAAAGATTTAATAATTCTTATAAAGGTTTACTTCCATAATCTACTTATTAATTAATTAAATTATTTAATTGATCCCAATGTCTTTGTCTCATTCCAGGTTCTGTTAATGCTAATATTAATGGTAAATAAGGACTAAATTCTTTTATTTCTAATAATAAACATTATGCTAATTATGTAATTGATGACATTTTCTTTTCATTTGAAAATACTAATATTTATTATAATTCAATTAAACTATTTTCTGTAAATTCCTAAATTTATTTTGTATTTAATTCATTTATCTTCATTTACATCCAAGTATTATTATTCCATTATTTCATCAATCTTAATAAATTCTCTAAAGGTTATAATTATTAAATAATGAAATCAATTTTACCAAAATTACTTTATTATAAATTAAAAACTATTTCATATTAATTCATTAAATTTGCTTATTATTTAAGATCTAATAATTCTTTCATAAATGTCTAATCATTTTATTAATTAACACTAAAATTCTTAATAAAATTATTTATTTTTCTTTCTGAATCATCTATTGTATATTTAAAATGTAATAATTCTTATTAAAAATCATATTTCTATTGAATTCTCTTCTCCATTAATTCTTCTAAACTTTCATTTATCTATTATTTACACATATTAACATATGATATCAAATTCCATCTCTCTTTCATTTACTCTGATGAACTTATATATGATAAATCATCCAATGTTTCATATACCTTAAGAGTATTTTTAATATTCATTTCTAATTAATGAATATGATCATTAACTCCATGAATCAAAAAGTTTCTATGATTCTCCAATCCAATTATATCATTATTCTATTTCTTAATCATTAACATAAGTTTTTAATATTATAAAGTAGTTTCCTTTATTTAATTATTTGCTAAACTTGATATATATTCCATCATTTAATGGATATTCTTTTCTAAAAGTTAATTAATTTAAAATAATAGATGTGTATTATCAATTATAAAAATAGATACCCAATCAGTTGGAGCTATTTCCTTAGTTAATTATATCTATAAAGATGATAAATTTAATATCTATTATTTAAATAATTAGAGATCAAAAATATCATCATGAGTACTACAATCTTTTACAAAATCTTCTAATTTCCATTCAAAAATATATTAATATTTCATATACTTTTTTAAATGATCTATTAATTTATTATTGATTCTTTATACTGACATATTTAATTCTTCAACAAACTCTTAAATTAATTAATCTTTGTATGAAATGCATTATAAATACATAAGATATGATATATTCATTATACATTCAGGATCTCTAATCTTACTTAATTCCAATAATTAATTAGCTAAACTATTACAATAAATATTTGTAATTTCTAATACATCAAATGAATATTAAAAACCACCAAAATATCCTACTGATATTTAAAATACACTCTATTTCTTTTTAAGAAAATTTAATCTAAAATTTCTAATATTATCAACTATTAATTTCTATAGAGATTCTAATTATTTTATTCTGATAACTTAAATTATCCTCTTTAAACGATTCTCCTATAAAATCACACCTCTCTATTCTAATTCTTAAAGACCCTCCTTCATTATACTTTTTATTCTTTCACTCCATTTCGAGATAACCTTAAATTAGCGATTCACTAATTGATCTTGCTTTTCTTTTAATTATAAAATGGAATAAGCTTTCTTATCCCAATAAAGTAATTCAAGTGAACATATATGATTGTTTAATTCATTTATATAGAAAAATGATTTAATCAACTCAGGTAAAACAAATAGAGATAATTCTTAGAATTTTTTCTTAACTATTTCAAATGATGTTTATTAATAATCAACAAAATCTCTATGAACTATCATTATTTCATTAAATTTCAATTAAATTTTACCAAATTCTGGTATCACATTTTTCTACACTTTAATAGCCATTTAGAAATTCAATACATCCTTATTATGTTTCAAATATTAATTTAATTACATTTCATTTTGTATTCTTTTATAATGAGCATTAATTTAAATAACATGTCCTTATTCAACTTTTCCTATCAATCTTTGAATTCTCTAAATCTTATCTATTGACAATTCAGGAATATCTTAAGTCTACATATTATCAATATAGTAATTATATCTTAATACACTATCCATTGCTTCTCGATCATTCAAAGCTTTCTCAAATTTTTATACATATATTTTAACATTTTCAAAATCACAAACAAAATAAAGTCTTGAAATTTCTCCAAATTAATCATTGCTCTAATAATTAAATAATTAAGTTTGATGATTATAATCAATTATCTTTCCTTCCACAAATTCATTTTGATTATTGAGAATGAATGCATTGATTGAACCAGATCTTTATATTTTCAAAAATAAATCCTCATTAGTAAATCTGTCAAAAGAACTATCTTCAAATAAATGTAATGGCAAATATGCAAATTTTTTAATTCTATTGCCCAGCTATTAAATATGAATTGTTGGTTTCAATTACTTTTTTATAGGAATACATTCATTAATTAAAGAAGAACTCAAATCAAATGTGAAATGTTTAAGTTTCCTCTAAAAATATACCTCTTTACTAAATCTTTATGGTGTTCTTTAAGGAGTTTGATATCTAGTTGTCAAAGATATAGGTCTTTATCGAGAACTTGGTCTCATTTATTAAAATATTTATATATATATATATTGTTAAATTTTCATTTAATCTATATATATTCTTTAGTATTATTATGTATAATAATATATATATATATTGAAGAGATGAATTAATTCTGTTTTTGATAAGAATTACATTAATAAAATGACATGAATTTTATAAATAAAAATAACATAAAAATAATAATGAAGCCGAATACAAACAATAAAACATTTAATAATGGATTTCGATAGAATTCAAGCAATAGTAATGTTGGTCTAATGATTGATCAATAAAATTCATTGAACTATTCTCATCGATTGGCTGAAGAAAGTTTGTAAATAGGTGAAGATGTATTGGAATCATTTAAAAGACAAAATGATAGTCTCAAAGTATTTATTATTTATTAAAATAGAGAATATAAAATAAAGTTAATTATACAATTGGCGATTTGGGATTGTCTTAAGGAATTATTAAGCTTATAGGATCAAGAGATTAATAAGATAGACGCATTGTCATATTTTTAACCATTTTATTATTTGCCTTTATAGGAACACTTTACTACGTGTTCAAATGATAAATTATGTTTTATAATTCTTTATTATTATTTAATAATATAGATAAAATTCATCAAAAATGAACATAAATTAAATATCATTTAAACTCACTTAATTCAACAACAAAAATCAATTTAATTATTATAATTGAAATCATATTCAATCATAATTATTTTAATATTTTATTGTTATAATTATGAATATATATAGATTGTTAATTCTTTAGTTAATACATGTATAAATGTATTAAAAAATAAAAGGTTTTTATAATAAAATTCTTAATAAAAAATTTACATAAATAATTTATATAATTTGGAACAAATTTAATTAATAAGAATAGAAACTATAAGAGAATTTAAATCTATTATGATATGATTAAACTATATAGATGAAAAATAAGTATAAAAGATTTAAATAGAAATTTAATATAGCAAAGAATTAAAAAAAAGAAAATTCTATAATTTCTTTATCACTTTATAAATAATACTATTTTATTAGAGAGATTGTAATTATAATAAATAATTTATAATAAAATACATCTGGTTTTAATTGATTTCTATATATGATAGTTTAATTTATATGATTTATATTAAAATGATCTAATTTGGAGTAAATAAAAAATTTAAAAATATAAAGAATATCTAAGAATAAGTTAGAATAGATAATAGATATTTTTAATTCTTTTACCAGAGAAGTTATATATATATATTAATAAATTATTAAATTAGCATATTGATTATACTTAATATGATATACATATATAAATATATATTTATATTTTTATATGAAATCTAAAATTAAGGCAGCAAATAAATTAACTTTAGGTACTGAAACAGATCTAATCTTTAATGATGCAGATTTTTGTTCAAATTTAGCTGATCATTTTAAATAACCTAAAACTGTTAGAACAACTCATAAAAAAACAAAAACTGAATTATTTTATACAAAAACACCTAATACGGCATTGTATAAATTTCGATAAAATGGACAATTGTTAACAAGTTCTTAGTTATCTCTTTCTCGTTGTCCATCATTGACGAAATCATAAAGGAAATTATAGGATAGAGAACTCAAGACAAAAAGTAATAATGTCAGTAAAGAATATTTGGAAATAAAAAAAAGTTAAACAGAATAGGATATAGTACCTATTCAATTATTATTTGAATAAAATAGCTTTTTAGCAAGAAATCATGAATTTTTAATAGACAGTATAACAGAATTATCAGAATCTGTTAAAGTATAATTATTGAGTAATCAATATGAAATATAGAGATGGAAAGAGGAAAAGATATAAAGTAATCTTGATAGTAAAATATTGTTTATATTTTACAATACATTATAATAATTAGATAAGAAAATAATTGGATCAATATTTAATTAATAATAGACACCAGCAGAGAATTTTAAATTAAAACATTTATCTGATACAATGGAAATGGTATCAGAAATGGTAACACTTATAATAAAACAGGTTTCAAGAATGGACATAAAATTGGCTACATTTATAGAATATTTTTGGAAATTTTGGGTTGTTTTAATAGATGTAGCAATGTAATGGATGGATAAAAGTTGTACAGATTATATAGAATATTAAATATAATAATTTAAATAACAATTTGAAGATGCAATATAATAAAAGAATATAACAGAAGATAAATTAATAAGAGCAGAAAAGGAATTTAAATTATAAGAATAATAATATTAAAGAAAATGTGATTCTTTAGAAACTTAAATATTATCTATATAATAAGAATTTAATGAATATAAATAAGCAGTACTTTAAATGAGTGATTTAAAATAAGCAGAGAAAAGAATGAATGCAGTTGGTTTAAAATCATTAGAATTAGAAAATCTCTTTAAATAATATGATAGATAATTATTTGATTATAAGAGTGATTTTTAAAAAGATTTTAAATAATTAGGATCAATATTGGTATAATAAAAGAAATTATAAGAAGATTTAAAATAACCTCATTAATATGCATAATCTATTCTTCATATTCCTTAATATGTTGAAAATAAGACTCTTTATGAACTATTTATTAATATGCATCCTTTCTGTTTGCATTTTTAAAAAATAGAATTACATGAATAAGATAATGAGAATGATTATGATAATTAGCTAATCTAATTTTTAGAGTATTTAACTTATTATGATGATTTAATGTAGAATGTATGTGTAATATTTAGAGAATGGGTGAATGACAATGATCGTCTCAATCGTATTGTAAATCATCTATTAACTTAAAAAGATTATACATAACATTCTTTACATCATTTTTATTGCATTCTATTTGGTTTGAAAAATAATTAGCAACTCTCTTGGATTTCAATAAGCAATCTCATCTGTTATTTTAAACAGTTGAAATAAGAATTACATTAATAATTGAATGAACCAATTTATTTAAAAGATTCTAATTATATTTTAGATTTAATTTTACCAGAAGAATTTATGGAAATAATTAAACATCATAAACTTGATTCAATAACAATATTAAGTTTATTAAATTTATTGGCTTAATTCATGTAATAAACAGAACATAAATTATGGAATAGATGGAAATTTCATTATAAAATAGATTCAGATGAATTTGATTAAAATAAATTGGATTATTTTATGTAACTTAAAATTTATTTGAATAAAGGAGACTTGAGTATATAATAAAGAAATGATTTTTTTGATTAAATTCGACATTTGTCCTTAATGTACCCTTGTTTATTTTATAAACATAAATAAATGATTTCAAAAATGTAGACTCAAGTTAGAAGAGTCTCTTAAAAACATGCAGCATAATAATAATAAAAGGAATCTAATACAAGACCATCATAGATGAAGAGATAGTCAACCTATAATGGAATGATAAAATCTCAAGTTCTTAGAAAATGAATCTTATGATTTGTATATCATTATTCCATCATCCTAAACCATAATAAAATTATTCAGTAGTAGACTATTCTATAGAAAATCATTATATATAGAATATTATTAAATTTCTTATCTAATAATTTATTTATTGTTATTTTTAAATATAATGTTGGTGGCCCTATTATTAATATTGATTGAAGTACATTCTAAGTGTTCAGATAGATCAATAAATACATGTTTACAAGAAAATAATTGTTTAATTGTGAATAATTTATGTCAATCCAAATAAATCAATTGTCATGAATTAAATAAGAAAAATTGTTATGAATCCCAATGTTATTTCAATGAATAACAATAAATTTGTGAAGTAAAATTATGTAATATCAAAATAGTCTTAAAATATAAATAAGAACATTTAATATAGAATTCTAAATGGCAAAAAGAATGGTTGGAAAAAGGATAGATAATCAAAAAGATAAAAATTAAGTGAGTAAATTGAAGAAACTAGATAAATAAGTTATCCAGAATCAAATTATGATTCAGATTAAACTTAGAGTAATTTTTATTAGAATTCTGATATTCTTAACACCAATTTTGAAGAATAGAAGATAGATTATTCAAAATAAGATACGATTATTTTTGAAATAGAAGATCTAGAATTTTATTAAGAAGATTTTTTAGATTAGAGAGATGAATAAGAGTCTGGATTTTTTACTAGTTCATCCATTACTATAATAATAATACCTATTATGATGGTGTAATTATATATTTGATAATAATAATAATATGTTATTTACTTTCATATTGCTAGGATTTGTTAATTCTTCTTGTCTAACAAGAAATTTTGAGGAATGTTTGTCCTTAAATGTAGAATATTAAGAGAGTTGCCAATTATCTTAAGGTGAATGTAGACCAAGACCTGAAAAGTGTACTGAAATTGATGCAACATACCCTTTAAACTGTAGAACTAATGAATGCTACTACAGCAAACGATTCAATAAATGCTTAGTATATCTCTATACTAATATAGTCATAACCATTTACTCGTCTACTAAATGAGGTTGCTGATAGAGGAGACCATCATGATCATTAATAAGATTCCCATGATGGAATAGATCAATAAAGACCATAACCTACAGAATAGGGTCCATTACCTCCTCCTTATTAACCACCATAAAATCCACCATAATAACCTATGCCTCCTTAGTATATAGTTTAAAATATATACAAGAAATGATGATTAAATAGAACAACCTAAAGAAGAGGAGAATAATGATAGTTTAGAAGATGATGAAGAAGATACATATGAAGAAGAAGAAGAAGTAGAAGAATAAGATATTAACTAAAATACTTCTGATGAGGATGAGTCTTGGAATGAACCAGAAGGTAATTATAAAACTAAAAATAGTTCCCTCTTAACCAAATTCTACTAATACAACTAATTCAACAAATAATACTAATAATTCAAATAACAATGATTCAGATGGCTTTAATGATACATATGAAGGATTTTAAAATATAATTGAAGAGGAAATTAAATTCAAATTGAGTTAATCTGATGAGAATAAATAAATAGAAATAAAGAGTAGTGGAACAAATCATTTAATTATGGCATTTATCACTATGATTATTTGGTTATGAATTATAAAATTTAATTTAAAAAACAATCAAAATACCAATTATTATTAGATGTATTATACTTAATAATTTAAAAATTGTATTTACATTATATAATCTTATTAAATAATTATTTAAAATCGATAGACAATTCTTATTTAATTTTATGATACTATTAAAAACAAATAAAGTATGAGAATATAAACTTAAAATGATCTTATATAATCAAGAATTATAATATTTAAATAAATTATTTTGATTGTATTTATTACAATTATAATATATCATCATAATTCTTATTATTATTTTACTGCAATAATCAATTATTAATTGAATTTAACATTCTCCACACTAGTATCACTTTATGTTCTAGTATCATATCCCATAGGCATAATAAATGATTATTATCTGGATGAATCGAAATCCTCTAATTCTTCCTAAATTATAAATACATTGATTCGTCATCTGTAATTATAGTTCCTCTTTTTGATTGCTCGAATAACAAAACGATTTTAAAATCTCAAGGACTTGTGGAGTCAATCCATAAACCAGAGAATTTATGAAACCTTAAAGACTCACAAAAGCAATTGCTACATCCTTAAATGCAAAGGTCTTCCAATTAACATAATTTCATACACTATTTTCATCATATTTTTGGAATATATCAATCATTGTCCAAATTTGTGTAAGGAGGAAAGAAAGAGGATAGAGGAATAGCTTATATGATTTCATCTATTAATATTCAAATAATTACTTACCTCTGTAACATTATACAAGAAGTTAAATATTTTTATATAAAAATATATGATGTAGAACAGTATGCCAATACAAAGAACCAAATAATCTACTACCATCAAAGCAATGCTGTCAGGCAATAACCAACACATTGAATAATTCAATCCATAAGCATCCCAAGCAAATGGATATGCACTCAATATAAATGGAATACCTATAATAATTAGATTTCTTTAAATTACCTATCGCAACAACATAAAATTTTAGAAGACCTGGCAATTCTTAATTATCAACAATTGTAGCACACATATTGTAAGCAAAAATTCCAATCCATATTATACTTGATTCACGACTGTAATTGACCAAAAATGCCTGGAATACACTATTTATGACATTACTTACCATAGTCCATTATTATCATCACTACTATTGATAATACTAGCTAGGGCAAAGAGAGCATCAGCAATCTGGAGTTGGAGAACTAAACGAAAGGTTGGTGTTCTCAATTCTTATATATAACGATTATAAATTACTTGGGTTTGATAAAAATAATACAGCAACAGTTGTACTACTGAATAGGGAAATTGATGAGCAAATTACTTTGATTTATATCAATTTATCCATTTATTTATTTGAATATATAAATTATCTATGTAAAGGAACTTATTTTGTTCTATTATATATTAATGGTTAAAAAATATAATAATATAGTCACATCTATGATTGAATGATATTAAATGATAATTTTTAGACTATTTAAAACACGTTTCTTGTAAACAAATCATTTATATTAAATATCGAAAGTGATGTAATAAAAGGAATTTGAAGAAACTGTTGAAGAAGTCAAAACCATAAAGGCAATCACACCAAAGGTAGTGTCTATGTGTAAATTTTATAATAGGAAATTAAAAAGATTGTTCGACCATAGTTTGAAGCAAACCCAGAGTTGTTCTACCCAACCAAGGTTTTTGATAAATTTGGGTTTAGTAGATGTAAATGTCCAAAATGTGGTGCATATTTTTGGAGACATACAGAGAAAAAGACTACATGTGGAGATTCAAAGTAATAGAAGAAATCAATAAATTTTTTAGTTGTGAAGGAAAATATTCTTTTATTGGTGTAGGTACTGGTAAAGGGGCAAAAGGAAATAAAATAACATATGCTGATGCTTGGAATGGATTCAAGAAATCTTTAACAAGTGCAAGAGTACCATGCACAGCGATTGATAGATATCCAGTTGTGGCAAGATGGAGAAATGATGTTGATTATGTAGCAGCAGGAATCTATTGTTTCTAACCATTTTGTGTAACAGGTGAAATGGATCCACCAGCAAATCCATTGATTTGTCCATAATTTTGTGTGAGATTTAATGATCTAGACAATATTGGTTTAACAGGTAGACATTATTCAGGATTTATAATGCTTGGTATATAGACATTTAATTATCCTGATAAATATGTATTCTTTAAAGAAGAATGCGTTGAATTTAATTATAGATGGTTGACTGAAGAATTGGAAATTAATCCAGATGATATTACATTTATTGAAGATGTTTGGGCAGGTGGTGGAAATCTAGGTCCATCAGTAGAATATTTTGTAAATGGATTAGAAGTAGGAAATATGGTATTTATGTAATATAAATATTTCCATGATGGATCATATGAAGAATTACCTATTAAAATTATAGATACTGGTATTGGATTAGAACGTATACCTTGGTTAGTAAATGGTTCACCAACAAGTTATTTTGATGTATTTGCTGGAGCATTTGCATTCTTGGCATAAAAATTATAAGTTGAATATTCAAATGATGTTTGGAAAGCATTTGGACCATATAGTTGTTTATTGAATGTTGATGAGGTTGAAAATGTTGATAAGACATGGGAATTTATATCATCATAAATTGGATATGATGTTTAAACTATAAAGAGAGAAATAGAATAATTAAAAGATATGTATATCATTTTAGATCATACACGTACTGTTATGATGGTAGTAACTGATGGATCATTACCATCTAATGTTGGTGGTGGTTCTAATATTAGAAATATCATTAGAAGAGTATTTGCCGTTTTGAAGAAAAATAATTGGTGGGATAAATTAGGAATGGATGGATTATTATAATTATTTTAAGAACATAAAAATGATTTGGCTAAACTTTATGGTCCATTTGGTGAATATAAGAGTTTTGATTAAATTATTAAATAAGAATATGAAAGATGGGCAAAAACAGATGATGATAAGAAAGTTAAATTAGAAAAATTATTAAAATAAAAGAATAATTAATTAAGTATTGATGATTGGATATTTGCTATGAGTACACATGGAATACCAGCTGATACTATTAGTCAAATTAGTAAATTACCAATCCCTGGTAATTTATATGCTGAATTGGCAGATAGAGCAGCTAGAATTACTAAAGCACCTGAAGCTATTCTTTATAACACAGTACATATACCAGAAACTACTAATTTATATTATCAAACACCTAAAGATGGTAAATTCTAAGCTAAAATTGTTACTATATTTAGTAATGTTTAATAATAGAATCTTCCTAATATAGTGATTTTGAATTAATCTGCCTTTTATCCATTTGGTGGTGGATAAGAAAATGATTAAGGTTGGTTAACTATTTAAGGAGAAAGATATTTTGTTAATAATGTTTAGAAAGTAGGAAAGGCTGTGTTACATATTTTAGAAAAACCATTACCAAATTAAGTTGATACTTATGTTGGTTTAGATGTTTAAGCTGAAATAGATTTAGATAGAAGATCTATATTGAGAAATCATCATACAGCTACTCATATTGTATTCGCAGCATGTAGAAGAGTACTTGGACCTCATGTTTGGTAGAATGGTGCTCATAAGAGTGTACATAATGCACATCTTGATATTACTCATTTTGCACCTTTAACAAAGGAGTAAGAATAAGCAATAGAGAATGAAGTCAATAAAATAATATTATCTGCAAAGTAAATCAATAAAGGATTTATGAATAAAGCAGATGCAGAAAAAGAATATGGATTTAGATTATATTAAGGTGGTATTGTACCAGGAAATGAATTAAGAGTTGTTAATATAGATGGAATAGATGTTGAAGCTTGTTGTGGTACCCATTGTGATAGCACATCAGAAGTAGGATGGGTTAGAATTCTTAAAACTTAAAAATTATAAGATGGTGTTGTTAGACTTTATTATGTTGCTGGAGTNGAATAATTAAAAGATATGTATATCATTTTAGATCATACACGTACTGTTATGATGGTAGTAACTGATGGATCATTACCATCTAATGTTGGTGGTGGTTCTAATATTAGAAATATCATTAGAAGAGTATTTGCTGTTTTAAAGAAGAATAATTGGTGGGATAAATTAGGAATGGATGGATTATTATAATTATTTTAAGAACATAAAAATGATTTGGCTAAACTTTATGGTCCATTTGGTGAATATAAGAGTTTTGATTAAATTATTAAATAAGAATATGAAAGATGGGCAAAAACAGATGATGATAAGAAAGTTAAATTAGAAAAATTATTAAAATAAAAGAATAATTAATTAAGTATTGATGATTGGATATTTGCTATGAGTACACATGGAATACCAGCTGATACTATTAGTCAAATTAGTAAATTACCAATCCCTGGTAATTTATATGCTGAATTGGCAGATAGAGCAGCTAGAATTACTAAAGCACCTGAAGCTATTCTTTATAACACAGTTCATATACCAGAAACTACTAATTTATATTATCAAACACCTAAAGATGGTAAATTCTAAGCTAAAATTGTTACTATATTTAGTAATGTTTAATAATAGAATCTTCCTAATATAGTGATTTTGAATTAATCTGCCTTTTATCCATTTGGTGGTGGATAAGAAAATGATTAAGGTTGGTTAACTATTTAAGGAGAAAGATATTTTGTTAATAATGTTTAGAAAGTAGGAAAGGCTGTGTTACATATTTTAGAAAAACCATTACCAAATTAAGTTGATACTTATGTTGGTTTAGATGTTTAAGCTGAAATAGATTTAGATAGAAGATCTATATTGAGAAATCATCATACAGCTACTCATATTGTATTCGCAGCATGTAGAAGAGTACTTGGACCTCATGTTTGGTAGAATGGTGCTCATAAGAGTGTACATAATGCACATCTTGATATTACTCATTTTGCACCTTTAACAAAGGAGTAAGAATAAGCAATAGAGAATGAAGTCAATAAAATAATATTATCTGCAAAGTAAATCAATAAAGGATTTATGAATAAAGCAGATGCAGAAAAAGAATATGGATTTAGATTATATTAAGGTGGTATTGTACCAGGAAATGAATTAAGAGTTGTTAATATAGATGGAATAGATGTTGAAGCTTGTTGTGGTACCCATTGTGATAGCACATCAGAAGTAGGATGGGTTAGAATTCTTAAAACTTAAAAATTATAAGATGGTGTTGTTAGACTTTATTATGTTGCTGGAGTTAAGACTATTGAAGTTTTAAATTCAGAAGGAGAGATGATTAATTCACTAGTTAAATTATGGTCAATTTCTAAGAATTAATTGGTTGAAGAAGGTAGCAAGATATTCTAAGAAAAGAAACATTATGAATCTGCTTATAATGTATTATATCATTATTATTATTATATTAGTAACTTAAGGCTGAATTGATCAAATCATAAATGAAATATGTTATTGATGGTCCAAATTAAAGAACACTTATTCAATCAAATGAATAAAATCCAACTGCTTATTTCAGTGAAATTGGAAAGTATATCCAATAACTCAAAGATTCCAAGAAAGGTTTATTGTTTGTTGCTGACACTTTCATTTATGGAGCCTTTGGTGAAAATAATTTCAATGTAGAAGAGTTGAGTAAATAAATAGAGGAAGAAGGATAATAATTGAAAATGAATAAGTAGAATAAGATTAGTGTTAAAGATGGAAAGGTATAATAAATAAAATTATAAATTAATAGAAAACTATCTAAGTTAATGATGTGTTAACATTCTCTATCTTAGGTAAATTCAATAAGAATAAAGCAACAAAGTATCTTAAAGAGCAAGGTTTTGCTTAATTTTGAGATAATATATATAAAGAAAGATAAATATAATCAAACATAATTTAATTTATATTTCTAATTTCTAATAAATGACTCATTAATTTTGGAAACTAAAAAAAGATGCAAATGAGAAGGTGTTTTCTACATCCTCAATAAGAAATGAAATTTATTGTACTAAATCATCAATGTTAACATTTCACTCGTTTAGTTTGCTCTTAATGTTTAGATGAATTTTAATTAGATTATTAAAGACATGGAATTCAAGAATTATCTAAGGTATTTATAAAATATTTTAATTAGATTGAATAATAATTGTGTAAAATATTCTTTCCTTTAATCAAAGATGAAAATGTAAAATAAATGATATTTGATTTCTATCAAACTGAATTCTTCACTATTTCAGATTAATATCAAAAATTGAGAGAAATCTGTAAGAATACTATAGATCTAATATAGAATTTGGTTAATAAATTAGATGTATTGATTTAATAAGTCAAACTCAAATAAATAGTATTTGTTTAACAAGTATAAATATTTTATATTTATATATATAGACCTTTCAATTTCATAAAATAAAAGATCTCTTTACTGATTTAAATTAAGTTAAATCAAAAGATATTTAATCTATAATGTAATAAAAAGTGACTGATTATTTCAGATACATTAGAAAATTAACACCAGAATAAGTTCATATATAGATTCAATAATAAAAATAAGAAAATTCATCAGATATAGAATCCCTTTAAGTAGATGATATGATTACATCTTATTAAGCAATTATTACAGCAATGAGAGATTTAGAATTAAGAAAGGTTTCTAAAATACCAAAACCTATTCATCAATNTAAATGAAATATGTTATTGATGGTCCAAATTAAAGAACACTTATTCAATCAAATGAATAAAATCCAACTGCTTATTTCAGTGAAATTGGAAAGTATATCCAATAACTCAAAGATTCCAAGAAAGGTTTATTGTTTGTTGCTGACACTTTCATTTATGGAGCCTTTGGTGAAAATAATTTCAATGTAGAAGAGTTGAGTAAATAAATAGAGGAAGAAGGATAATAATTGAAAATGAATAAGTAGAATAAGATTAGTGTTAAAGATGGAAAGGTATAATAAATAAAATTATAAATTAATAGAAAACTATCTAAGTTAATGATGTGTTAACATTCTCTATCTTAGGTAAATTCAATAAGAATAAAGCAACAAAGTATCTTAAAGAGCAAGGTTTTGCTTAATTTTGAGATAATATATATAAAGAAAGATAAATATAATCAAACATAATTTAATTTATATTTCTAATTTCTAATAAATGACTCATTAATTTTGGAAACTAAAAAAAGATGCAAATGAGAAGGTGTTTTCTACATCCTCAATAAGAAATGAAATTTATTGTACTAAATCATCAATGTTAACATTTCACTCGTTTAGTTTGCTCTTAATGTTTAGATGAATTTTAATTAGATTATTAAAGACATGGAATTCAAGAATTATCTAAGGTATTTATAAAATATTTTAATTAGATTGAATAATAATTGTGTAAAATATTCTTTCCTTTAATCAAAGATGAAAATGTAAAATAAATGATATTTGATTTCTATCAAACTGAATTCTTCACTATTTCAGATTAATATCAAAAATTGAGAGAAATCTGTAAGAATACTATAGATCTAATATAGAATTTGGTTAATAAATTAGATGTATTGATTTAATAAGTCAAACTCAAATAAATAGTATTTGTTTAACAAGTATAAATATTTTATATTTATATATATAGACCTTTCAATTTCATAAAATAAAAGATCTCTTTACTGATTTAAATTAAGTTAAATCAAAAGATATTTAATCTATAATGTAATAAAAAGTGACTGATTATTTCAGATACATTAGAAAATTAACACCAGAATAAGTTCATATATAGATTCAATAATAAAAATAAGAAAATTCATCAGATATAGAATCCCTTTAAGTAGATGATATGATTACATCTTATTAAGCAATTATTACAGCAATGAGAGATTTAGAATTAAGAAAGGTTTCTAAAATACCAAAACCTATTCATCAATAAGGTTGTGGTACCTTGTTATAAACATTAGAATAAATTATTAGTAAAAAGCAAAATGAATAACTTAAGGCAGAATTAGTTTATAATCATAAAGAAGATTATGAAAAAGTGTAATTTTGGACTAAATTATCAGGATAATCAAATACTCTTGTCATTTGTAAATAAAAGAATTCTTAATACTTTGGTGGTTATACTCCATCTTAATGGTAATATGGATTTCCTGGTAAAGATCCAAATTTAATAACTTTCTTATTTTAATGTTATGGATAAGAATTGAGAATACATACTATTAATAGAGAACTTAGATAAAGAGCAATAAATTGTGGAGTAAAATAAATGGAATTTGGATAAAAGAATTTGGTTATATCAACAGATTTTTAAAGAGTTGAAATGAAAATATTTCCAGGATTTTCTGAATAACCAGACAAATATCATGTTTGTTAAACTATTTCAGATGAATAAGATATATTTAAAGTATATTTGTTAAAAAAAATCTCTTGATAAATAATATCTATTAATTTTTGTTATTGTTTTTTTTAACAAACTCATTTATTTAATGATGGTAATTGAACTTTCTATTTTTTACTATAATCTGTTTTTTCAGCTGTATTGAGATCAAGTGACATAATTTTCAATGCCATAGATTTTTCATAATTATCCTATACTTAACCTGCATTTGGACGTGTTAATAAATTATTTAAACTATTATATTATTTAATTATATATACGTGCTCTTAGACCATTTCTCTTAATAAGTGGTTGTCCAATGTTAAGATGTAGCTAAATCAGATTAACGCATCTTAATAATTAATATTTATATACTTTGAGTTCATAATCTGTCTAATTTAATCGATTAATAAATGATTATTCATATTTATATTTAAGATCTCTATTTTAAACAGTGATTTTGATGAATCCAAAATCTATATTTAAATTATGTCCTAATCTAGTTAAATCATGAATTGCCTTTATCAATGAATTATGTATACATTATACAACATCCTTACCTAAATAACTAATATTATAAATATAATTCATTACCAAGATGCAGCAATAGGACCAGCATTACAGAAGTTCATTCCAAATCCTTTTTGATAAATGGAATGTTAACTCAATGGTTTTGTTATTTCCTCTTTTCCAGGATAACGAGCCAAAAAATATTTAAAAGAATTGTCAGGAACAAAACATGGTCTAAATCTATAATAATAATTATCTACCTTATCTAATGAACATGTTTTCTTTCTGCTCTTTGAATTCCCAAATCTTGAGTCATATTAAATCCTGAATGTTAGAGTGGTTTAACATAATCTGAATTAACTTCCATTGTAAATGCTCCTAACTCTTTCATATTGACACCCTAAAGTATTCAATTTGTAATGTTACATTTCCATTTAGCATTTTCTCTTTGATGTACTCTGCAGTGGCTTTAATCACTATATGAAATTAAGCTTTTGCTTCAAGTGGTTTATAAGATGCAATAGTTCTTGGTTAGGATTCTTGATGTTTTCCTGGATAATTTTGACTATGACTAAGGATCCTGTAATTTGAATGCATATATATACCAATTATAGATATCGTCAAGGTTCATGAAACTGATTTTTATTTATATTATATATTAATAATCATAAGAAATAATCTGGTACTCTTTTTGGAACAGATTCATTTTCTGATCTAGGTGCTGGATCAAATGTAATACTATTATAATAATGATTATAAAGTACAATGTTTATCTTAGATTTTCATCAACTTCCATAATTCCAGCTTGATTACCACATCTATAACAGTAATTAGGTGCAGAGAATATAGTTACAACATTTCTATCGTGAGCTAATGAATAACCCTATGATTAAGAATGTTTATTATACATCCATAACTAATTGATGTGCTCTTGCAATCATCTTTAATTTGTTATTATGATTAAATTACTCAGAGATATCTTATCCAAAAGTATATCCAGCTCCTCTTGGAGACATTCCCCATCCAGATCTATCATCAGGATCACTCCATAATAAATCACACATTGGTCCTTCATGAGGTACTTCTTAAACTCTATCTAACTATCGAATATGATCCAAAGTGTCAATTGAAGGTGATATACCACCATGTAGACAGAAAAACTATTTGAATAAGATGATAAAATACTTGAGATTCAACAACTGCAGTTAAGGGTAAGTAATCAAAGAGTTCAGTAAAGTATTTCCATACATTACTATTACCATACTTTCTTGAACATTCATCATAGAAACCATAAACTTATGTTATTTATCTTGATTCATGATTTCCTCTTAAGATTGTAATTCTATCTCTATGACGAATCTAATTATTATTATATGTATAATACTTTCAATAAGACTAATAAAGTAACACATTCAACTGAATGATGTCCTCTATCTACATAATCACCCATAAATAGATAATTTGTATCCTTAAATGAAAATGATTCATTACTGGTGCTTTGCCACCTATTTTAAATAATTCCATTAGATCATGAAATTGACCATGAATGTCACCACATATAATCACTGGAGCTCTGACAGGTTATACATTTGATTCTTCGATTAAAATTTCTTTAGCCTATAAAAGAAAATATAAAAAATTATAAAAAAACCTTTTCACATAATAGTTTGACATCTTATTCAGGAAGAGGTTTGCATTAGTATAAATGTTATATCTAATTGTCAAGATTATTTGCCTCTGGGGTTGTAATTTTAGAAGTCATTTAATTTAATTTTTGAATCAACAGGAGAATATTTAAGTATATTGAACAATTTATAAAAGAAAATTTCATATTAATATTCAGAATTACACAGAGTTATTTATTATTTCTAAATAAAAATGGCAAGGTCTAATGTAATACTTATAAATAAATATAGAAATGGAAATAATTTGTACCACAATAGTAATAAGAATAATAACCAAATGATGATGTAAAACCAGCAGCTAATAAGAAATTAATGAAATTTGCTGATACATAAGCATTTTAGGTGTCAACACATGATAATAATTATAAAGATGCAATTGATATAGAAATAAGTGAAGATCTTATTGCAATATGGCCTGTATATTTGGAAATTAGTGTGAAAGATTAAGCTATAAAATTCATTATTTAAGTAACTTAAGCAAATGTAGTAAAAACTTAAAATTAGAGGATTAGTGTATTAAAAACAATTACTGATTTATATAAAGTAGATTATGATGTAAATATGCGATTTTAAGCATATTTTAGAATTGTAAATGAATAAGAAAAGACTTATTAATTATCATTTGTTGAAATATTAGTTAAAGATAATTTTCTTTCTAGAAGAGATATGGTATAAATCAATTAAAAATTACTTAAAACTACTTGTTATACAAAAAAGAATGTTATTATCTAATATGCAGGAGATTTTCTTAAGGCTTCAATCTAAATATCTTAATTAATGATGAGAGACATAAATAATTAAGAATATGCATATACAGGAATAATAACAGAAGAAACAAATATAGTTTATAGAAGTTTAGAATCTAAGATGGCAATCTTAATTGAATTATCTTAAGAAACATTTAAAGATGATGCAATTGGAGAAATAGCATTAGAAAGCATGTAAAAATTCTTGAAAGTATATTATTTACGTAATTAATCATTAATGACTAATCATAAATTGGAAATCATTATTTATGCTAGAATATATTTTCCTTAAATTAAAACAGTAGATGATTTGTATAATTAATTGATTAATAATATAAATTAAGAATAAACATATCCACCTCATGCATAATTGGATCAATTTGGAAATGTTTGTATAGACATATATAAAAAAGTTCCAGAAAGAAAGGCTTTAAGATAATTTGATTAATTAGCTTAAACTGTAATTTAAACTATATAAGAATTGACTGCTTGGATTAATGTAAAAACAATTAATAATTATCATTCTCTTTTTGTAAAGGATTATCTAAAGAAGAAACCTGATTTCAAATAAGTATAATCAATCAAAGGAGAATTGAGTAGTTCCAAGTATTCCAATCTATTAGAAGCTATAACTTTAGTCACTTAAAATTTTAGATTAGATCATACAACTAGATCTTTAAAGAATTCTGGTCATTTTTTATTAATTTTATCTCCTGGTAATGGATATTACTTTGGAGATTTAAAAACATATAAAATTTCAAAGAAGAATGCACTTAATAATAACATAGTATGTATGTTGAATTGTTTTGGACGTATTCCTAATATTACAGGTCCAATTTTCTATTTAAGAGAACATAATCTACCAATAGAATGTAATCCAATACCTCCATTAACATATATATAATAATAATATTTTTAGAATACAAGTACTCATCTTAATTAAGAGAAATGTTAATATTAATATTAAGATAGAAATAAAATAGTATAAGATAATGAAGATATTTAAGTATAATCATGTTTAAGACATGCATATTGGATTTAAATAATTAAATATAATGATGAATTTCTTAGATCATTTTTTATGTTATATGATAGATAAAATTAAAATGATTTACTACCATTTTGTTTTAAAAAATAGAAATATATATCATTTTCATAAGTTGATTTTACATTATTGAGTTATCAAGAATCAAAATAAAAACTAAATTAATTGGAAGATCTTTAAAAATTTGATGAAATTATCAAAAATTGTATTAAAGATCCAAAATAAGCAGATCATTAATTAAAATAATAATAGATGGGTTCTATGTTAATAGAAGAAACACCTAATCCTTATAATCCAACAGTAGATTCTGGTTAATAAGTAAATATATTTGCAACACTTTATTATGAAAAGAAACCAGAATAATAAGAATAACCATAAACAGAGAAAAAGATAGTTAAGAACAATTAAAAGAAGAAAATTAAATCACATAATAGAATAAAGTGGAAATTATATTAATGGGCATGGAAATCTCATTAATTTATATTTTAAATGAAGGATATTTATCATAAATTATTTAAAAACTATTTATTGAATCACATAAAGGAAGCTGAATAGAATTTATTCTAAATGGAATAAAATTGGAAAAATATTTGTTATGTTCCACTATGTCCTTTGAAATCAGTAATGGTTTATGAAGAATAAAAGATATATAAAACAAGTGGTGAAAGACAAGTAGTAGATGGTATTGGAATAAAAGAATTTGAGGATTAAGTTATGGGAATTTTGTTATCTGAGAATTATTAATATGTTTAACCTGGAGAATAAACAGAAGATGAATATGGAAGTAAATTATAATGTTATAAGAATCAATAAAAGAGTTACCCTATGAAATTCATAAAGGGTGGACATATCATTACATTATATTATGAATTATAGAATTACACAATTGAGGAATATAATAAGAATAATTTAAAGGCAAATACAAAGAAACATCGCTATATTCCTATTTAAAATGATTCTGCAATAATACCTTAATTATATAGATATAATCTACATGGAAATAATTCTATTACATGTAGAGAGATCTTATTTTCTGAAGGAATAGATACTCATATTAAAGGATTGATTCGTATATTCAGTGATTTAGAACAAACATCTAAATATACTGAAGATTCTATAAAAACAATGAGACCTAAAAAAATAGGTCTTGCATTTATTCCAAATGAATCTTTATAGTTAGATAAGAAATAGAGATAATTATAATATGAAAAATGGAGAGATAATTTTAATAAATTCATGGAGAAATTGAAATAATAATTAAGATGTTTTAATTCTGATACCATTAGAATCTAACATGTTTCAAGATATAAAGAAATGTAGAAAGATCTATTTTAACAACTCAATTTAAAATATAGTACAAGTCTACCAGAATATAAATCATAATTACATAATGAGAAATATGAATAATTATGTATTACTTCTTAAGCTAATTATTGTCCTAAATGTATATACAATATCAATTTATTATGGATCTCAAGCACAGCTTTACCTATAATTAAAGTAATTGAAATTATGGAAATTTGTTCAAATGGATTCAAATAAGTATAAATACCTGGAAACATTGATAGTATTTTCTAATAACATCTTCCTTTTGAGAGTATTTACAAATTCAAAATATCAAATCAAGATAAATTGAAATCTATAAAAAGATAAGTTAGATATCCTCCATATGATTGTTTTTATGATAGATATGATACTCATCAAATATTAGTACATTGTAAAGGTTTATTTTTTTTGAAGTTTGATTTTAAAGTAATATAATTTAATAATTATAATATAGAATCTAGAAATTTTGTTTAAGGAGAATTTATTATATAGTGAAGAAGCTACAAATTAAAGAGTTATCCAATAAATATTCATTAAATTAAAATAATTAATTAATGATGAGAATGATAAATTAAAATTGTGATTTTTATTTAATATTTATTATATATAATATGGACCAAATTTAGATACCAAATGGATTTAAATTAGAACCATATGCTCCAAAAGAAGGAGGAAATGGAGAGATTTTTACATGTAGTAAAGATGGAAATTTGTATGCCATGAAAGTTTTTAAGAAAAACATAGAATAATATTTACATGAAGTGAATATTTGTACAACTCTTAAATCTCATGTCAATATTATTAAATTAATAGATAATTTTGAATGGGAAGGAAACAGAGTTATTATTTTAGAATATTGTTCAAAAGATTTAATTACATATCTAAATGAAAATTTACATTTATCAGAATTAGAAAGATTAAATATATTTGCATAAATTGTAAGTGCATTTAAATCCATTATTGAAGACTTAAATAGTGTAGAAATGCATTTTTCACATAGAGATATCAAACCTTAAAATTTAATGTTAGGAAATGATAATATGATTAAGATAATAGATTTTGGAGAAAGTAGAATATCAGATAATGATAATCAAATTCCAACCTTAAAAAATTAATTATGTGGTACTCATGGATATATGGATCCAGTAATGGAATTTGGAGGTGATGGATTTTAAGAAAAATCAGATTTATGGTCTATGGGAGCCACATTATTTTATATCTTAACAAATTAAGGATTAAAAATAAATGCAAAAGATATTAATACAGCAGCTATGAAGATATAGGCTAATAATAAAAAAGAAAATATTAAATAATTAAGAATAGATGCCAAATTAGAAATGGTATAATAAATTATTAATTAATCATTAATTTAATTACCATTTTCAGATTAATGCAAACAACTATTAGATAAATTATTAATGGTAGATCATAATAAAAGATATGGATGGAATTAATTATTTGAAAATGAATTAATAAAATAATTATTAGAATCTTTACCATAAGGATAAATATAATAAAAGACTGATCGTAAAAAACCAATAAAATTATCATATTAAATGAATAAAGATTTTTTATCTATGAATTTCAAATAATAAGCAGGTCCAATATTGACTGAAACATTATATGTTATTATAAGTAAAGGTAAGTAATGTGCATCAACAGCATTTGAAATGTTTAAATACTTTAATTAAATGAAGTATATTAATGAAGATTTTATGAATAATTGGTAATATTTTGAAAAATGCAATTATTTATTACATCTTAGATCACTTATTATACTAAATCATTATAATCAAATATTTACTCTTAAAATTCATAAATCAGGATAAGAATCAATAGATTAAAAGTTATTTGAAGATTTAACCAATGGAACATAATAGAATTAATAGATATATGAAAGAATATAATTATAAGTTTATTATTTATTTGAGGATGTAAGAAAGAGTTTATAAGGTAGTGGTCTAGAAACAAGAATATTGAATTTAACATAATAATCATCTAAAGATTTGAATGAATATAATTAAATATTGGTATTAGGAGATCAAGAGAGAGAGTATTTTTAATATAGAAAAGATGATAGAATGAATGTTAAAAATCGTCCAGATTATTATGACAAACCATATTTTTATGAGATATACAAATCATATCTTCTGAAATGCATTAAAGTTCTAATTGATAATTATGATAAAGATGGAGTCTAGGTTTTAAGTGATATGATTATATCTTATAATTTAGAAGAATTCTATGAAAATTGCACATAAGCCAAAATCTAAAATTATTTATACAATCAAGCAGAACAAAATAAAGAAGTTTTATATGCTAAATTGAAAGCTATTTATAATTCAATAATTTAGAAATGATTATTATTTATAATATTATTTATATTATTTTTTATATTATTTTAATTTATCTTTCTTTCATACATAAATATTATTAATTCCCTATAAAATCTAAGCCTATTTATATTACCTAATCCATTTATTGAATTAATATTATCTATATTATATTAAAAATCTTAATTTTGAAATCTATTTAACATATTTATCTTACCAATTTTTGAATCACATAATCATATCAACTAATATAATTTTTAACAAATAACTAAATTCATGTTCTATTATATTAAAATAATATTATATAAATATACATTTTATTTATATTTATATATCACAATCTCATTATTTCTTCCAAAACATATTTAAACCAAATCTTGTCTATTATTAAGGTTCTTATTACTATTTTTATTAAACTTCTTATGCCTTTTAAGTCCAAGCATTTATCTAATCTTTTGTAGTCTACTTTTATTACTATATAATAGTGTAATAATGGAAATGTTATTCTAATGATAAATCTATCCCTTCTAGATTTAATTAAGTCCTCTTCAATGACTTATTATTAAACTTTCCTGTCTTAAATAGATTCTAATAGTATTCTTATGCCTTCTCTGGATGAATAGCAGTAGCCAAATTTCTGTATTCAATTGAAAATATAATATCTACTTTTTATAACATAAGTTTGATTATTTATGAGATTGTTTCTCTCTTAATTTCTTATTTCTATAATTAATAAATGGAAAATAATAATTAATCTATTTCTTTTAAATCCCATTAATTATTTTATTCACAATATAGATCTAATTGATATTTCTATAATTATTCATTCCATTAATATATTAAAACATTATAATAAAAACAAATGAGAAATGAATCTTTATTTTACTCAAATATATTATTTAATATTTATGAATATTCCTTAACCATCTTTTAACAATCCTAAATACATTACTAATGTTTATATTCAATTTCATCATGTGGTAATTTCTCTATTAAATCACATATATCTTTTATTTCTTTAATTTTATTTTGATAAACTTTATAAACTTCTAAAAAATCTTTCTCTTATTTGATTTATTCTTTCTCAATAATCTAAAATAATTATTAAAAATGATTATTTAATGATAAATCAAACCAATCTTTCCAAATTATGATAGTTTTATTTTTTAATTCTTATGGAATAAATCCTTATTCTTTTTAAATTGATTAATAAAGTTCATGATTAAATGTACCATTTTAAACAATATTCTATATTAGTTTTTCTAAAATTTAAACTTCAATTGTTTTAGTATATGATAATATATTTTATTTAAATTTCTCTATTAATTAATTATCTATTTAAAATATTGGGATTTGATTATTAATTAGTATATCATATATTTATTCAATAGTCAATTGAATATAGTTTTATTTTAAAAGAATTAATTAAGTATAATTATCAAATGAATGAATTTAATCTATTTTAGCAATTACAGCTTTATAATTATTACAATTCAAACTTCCATATTCAATAAGTTTATTAAAGAATACAGATAGATTATTTTAATGAATTAAGAGTGTATCAATTACATTATTTAGATTACATTCTTACTCAATTTATTCTAATAGAATGATGGGATACAAACGTTCAGAATCATTCAATTAATATTTATTCTAAGCATATAATAATGATATTTGAGAATTATAACAATATCCATTTTTCATAGATTACTTAACCTTTTTCATAAAATATGTAAATGATTTGCATTTGTGATCTTATTATTATAATTTTGGATTATTGTTATTGGATTCATTAATCTACATCATGTTTTATTATGTTTTATTTGTAATTGTTCTATGTATGTTATTAGAATGTATTTTACATTATCTATTTAGTATAATCACTAATGCCATTAAGTAGATCAGCACAATTTAGGAGTTCGTGATATTTAGAGCTGAAGAGATCCTTTAATTCCTTATTCTTAGTAGTAATTTCTTTCTGGAGATTTTGCTATTCTCGTTGAATTTCTTGAATAGGCTTAGTAAATAATTATTCGACAGCAATCATTATTTAAATTATTAGAATATTTAATCAAGTCTTCCAAGTAATAATGTGATATCTTCAGGTTCATCTACATGACTATGCCAAATCAAATAAGGTTTCTTATCTTAAATTGCATACACCGCGATTTCCTCAGATTTACCACCAATTGCATAATTATTACAATTTATTTAAGGAAAGAGGTTTTCTAAATTCATTTTCAATTTATCTGCTCTAGATTTGAATATCTACTAAGAACAACAGTAATTTATTTAAAATTATACACCCAATTTTTTAAGAGCGGTTTACTTTTTTTTCATTAGAATCTTACTTAAAATTTCATTCTATTTTGATCTCCTTGAAATTTCATAAGCATCCCTCTTATAAGTAGACAAGTTCAACCAATCATATACCATACAAATAGCAATTACACTTTAACTCATATTAGGATGTACTTTAATATAATATTCCCATCTTTCATCTGCAAAATATTCAAAAGGAAGTTTAGCATATTCTTCCATTAATTGTTCTTCTGACATATTGTCTATTTTTAAATTCATAAATAATAAAACAAAATTAAAAAAAATCACTAAAATTTGTATACACCACCAAATTCTTAAGAAAAAGTGTTTGTTATTACTTAAACCTCCTCTTCAATTTATTCTACTACTTTATTTGTTAAATCATTAGATGATAACATTATCTATTCTAACAAATCCATTTCATTCATTTATTTGATATATTTATATTTCTATGGATTTTTATTATAAGGCAAATCACCTTCTAATATTAATTCTGTATTTAATCCTAATTATTCTGTAATATATTTTTATCTTTTATATGAATATTCACTTTCAGTTGTATCTTTACTGGCTAAAGAATAAAAGAATGCTTAAATTTCATTATTAGTATTTTATTTTGGTCTCATAACTCTTCCTAAACGTTATACTTTTTATCTTCTTGAACCTCCTAAATACCCTATTTCAATTCCTACACTAGCAGATGGAATATCTATTCCTGTATCTCCAACCCTAGACACAAAAATTGTTTTTATTTCATTCGAATTCTTAAAAATACTAAAGATTTTATTTTTTTCATCTGTATTTAAATCTCCATCTATTACTGGATAACCTAATAAAACAGCATAATAATTAAGTATTAATAATGAATCACAGAACACAATAATTTTATGTCCTAACATTTCATGATTTTTAATCAAAAATTATAATGCTTTAAATTTTCCTGGATTACCTGTATGTAATAATTATCTAACTGTCATATTATTTTTAGTTTGATATTCTTATAAAAATATAGGAGTCATATCACATTAAATCTCAATTATATGAGGTTTAGCAAGAAATCCTTATGTCATTAAATCTATTAAATTCTCTTCATATAATTTTGGACCAATCATGAAATACAAATTATCCAATTTTTAATCTTCCCTTAAAAGAGTTGCTGTTAAACCAATCTTAATAGCACATTTTATTTATTTTAACACATTCTAAAATTGAACTGCTGGTAATCTATGTACTTCATCAACAATACAAATTCCCCAATTAACATCTGATATTTGATTCCAAACAGTCTTTGTACTTGTTGAATTATTTCTAAATTGAGCAATTAACCAAGAATAAGTAGTTAATATGACAATAGGTAATTCACCTTACCATTTATCTTTTGCAAATCCAGTTACACGTACTATTCTTCTATTATCAATTGTAGTATATCCTTCAATTTCTCTCTTCCATTATTCAACTGATACATTTGAATCACAAATTATAACAGTTGAACTCTTAATTAAACTCATACATAAAACTCCTACTAAAGTCTTTCCTGCTCCACATGGTAATACAATTAAACCAGATTTTGCATAATCTCCCATGATAACATTTTTTGCTGCTCTTAATTAATATAATCTAGGTTTAGTAGATGGTTTTAAATTAATATCTAATTTCTATTACTCTTTTGTAAAATCATATTCTTAAATTAAAGGAACTGATGAACGAATTAAAGCTTAAGCTACATCAAAATAGTCTCCAACAATTTTAAATCGTTTAAATTTGATACTTTATATTTTATCTTATGCTAACCAATCCTTAAATGTATCAATCTCTTTTGCCATTTATTCAATATCAGCTTCCTTTAATTCTATTTAATGCTCAAAATTCTTCAATTATGGATTCACTTAAATATTATGAATAATCTATTCTTCTTAAATTACCTCTTGTATACTATTCTTATCTTATAAATTTATCATTATTTAACTTAAAACTGTTTCTCCAATATCTATATAATAACTCTTATCTTATAAAAAGAATTTTGCTTATCCTATATTATTTGTATGATGTCTAATAAATTGTTCCATTCTCTAAGGAACCTTATTTTTGGATAATAGATCTAATAGTCTAATTATATCATCTGCTGAATACTATAGTACCATGGCTGTATACATACTCATCTAAGTCAATCTTAATTAAAAACAATATATACACATATTCATGAATCAATTCTGATCTACTAATTGGTTCAGCTACACACATTAAAAATTCAAAAGCAATTTCATATAAAGGATTGAATTTCTCTACTATTATACTCAAATCAGGACTTAAAATTAATGGTTTATTTGATTAAACTATATCTATATTCCTATAATCCATGCTTTCTCCTAATAATAATTTTTGCACTTCTGCAGTTTAAGTTTGCAATTTTCTTTTCTTCAACTCAAAAGACATAATTAAATTAATTATTTAACTTTTGAAGCGCAAAAAAAAAAGTATTATATAAATATTTTATATATATTACTATAAAAATGAGTAAATCTCAAAATATAAATAAATAGTTATTGAAAAATTAATTATGCATCTTATATGTTTTGTTCATTTCTTTTTTTAGAAAAAATTCTTAAGGAAAGTTCCTTTCCAGATCTCAAATTTATTGTTCTACTTTACTTATTTAACAGGAGACACAGGTTAAGGAGGTACTATTTAACCTTAAACTTTAATAAAGCCTAAATTTAATAGGATAGTTGAAAAATCTTTGTTTCCTACAAATTTAATTGAAAATAACTCATAAAATTATCTTATCATTTCACTTTTACAAAATTTTGTTATTTCCTAATGATTATTTTATTTTAATACTTCAAAAGTTCTCAATCTTAAAAGATTATCTTGACAATATTTCAACATACCAATCAGAAAAGTGTGAATAATCACTTCACCTTCAAAAAGGAATAAATCAAAAATCATTCTACTGATCTCCCAAGATATTCCATACATTAATAAAGATAGATATTATGATTAAAAACACACATTTAGATCTACATTAGAATCTTAAAAATGTGCATATAATTAAGGCAATTCATTTTAAAATTTTAATTCCAAAACTTTCATCATTCTTATTAAACCTGGAAATCCAGGAATAAAAACTGATCTCCAATTTAATTCCACCATTATATATATAAAAAGATAAAATACATTTTCATCTCTTGATGGATCTATTATTTCTACATCTTAAAGGTATTAATAATTATTATATACCTTCTAAAAATTTCTCATCATTTGTTTTCAAATCATAACAAATTAATAAATTAGCTGCAATAATATTCATCCCTTAAGTATATCCCAATTCAGGATCATAATTAGCATAAGCCATTAATATCCTTTTTAAACTAATTTAATTTTCTTGCTATGTTTAATTATATGCTTACTAAATTCAAGAATCTATTTCCCATTAATGCTCTTGGTATATCTTTATCAATTTATGATGAATAATTATTATCTTAAGTAGAATACTAAAAAAATGTAGAATTTTTCTATTTAATTTTTTATTTTATTGAGTCTATTTAACAAAATAATAACCATATATCTCTCCTCTCTATAAAAAATAGATTTTAAGTTAATAATGACACATGTATATCATGCATCATATATCCTGATAAAGATTTTTGCTTGATTATTTTCTTCCAGTCATTTTAGTCCAAAATTTTATAATCTTTACCATTTTATGAATGCTCAATTATTATGAAATCTGATATCTCAACTTAGATCAATTTAAATTCTAATTATTCTTATCCTGTCAAAGGATGATCATCCTTTGATTTTTTCAATGCTTAACCATTATTAATCATCATTTTATTCTAATTCAATATAGAATATCAATTACTTCATCAACTTTTATAGCACTAATTGATCTTTTGGCTTATTTATTTACAAAAGATTATTTTTTACTTAAAGATTCTCTTTAACTAGGTTTTCTTTATACTTTCTAAAATTTATTATATATATCAACATCTATGATTTCAAAGGCTTGTGAACCGAAAATATCTTGATCTTCTGAAGTCTAATTCTAGTACCCAATCATTTAACTTTTTGTATATTAATTAATATAATGAGAAAATTTACATAATTTCATTTTCTACTACTCTCTTTTAGCAATTTAATTAAAAATTCTATAGATTAATTCGAATTTTTATTATCTCTTGAACTGTAATAATTTTGATTGGCCTTTATTTTTATAGGATTTATATTGTTTTTCTTATATATAAAATCTATCTATTTCGAAAGGTCATTTAATTCAGAAACCTCAGGATATGAATGTTTGTTTAAACGCCATCTAATCTGATTCGACTAATCTTACTAATTGCTTAATTGCTCATCCAGTTTTTTAATATTTAATTAATCTTTTTAATATATTTCTTCACCATCAGTAATCTTTCTTCTAGTGATTGAAATCAATTCTGAATTTTAAAGAGTTGAACGAATTCTTTCTTATGAAAAATTTGCTTTACTTAAAGTCTTTAGCTTCTGTTGTATTTTTGGAAGTTGATAACAAAGAGCCTTTTTTTGAGAATCATGGAATATATTATTATCTTTTTATAAATTTATGCGATGACTTGGTAAACTAAATAATGGTGATTCCTTATTAATAAGTCTATTGTTTAAGTAAGAAAACTATGATTCATCAGAAATTTTGTTCTAATAGTCAATATTGTGATTGAAAATTTTTTAATTCTAAATATTCTTTAGAATTTTCTCTAATTTACTAGGTTGAGTTCTTAAGGATTGTATATTTGGATAAACTTACAAATCAAACTGCTTTGACATAATTCTTTGTGATAAATTTAGGTCGAAATTAATTATATTAAAAATTTTATTATATAATATTCAGAGTATGATTATTCTATAGAACTTATATTGCATAAGATTAAGATTTCTAAATACGTATTTAACAATCATTAAATAATGATAAAAATTGAATAAGATTGAAAAAGAATAAAAGGAAAAACAAAATTAAGATAACAATAAGTTTATTAGTTACTTATTTGATAAATCATAGCTTATAGAGATGATAAATATTCTCAAAACAATAATAAAGAAAAGTTGTTAATATATATTTTCGATTAGTAGAATTACAGAAAAATAATTCTATATTTTGAAATGATAATTCGAACTCTTTATTATCTATCTATTTTTAATTTAGAATATATAAATTTTTTGAACCTTCAATAAATTTAAAAATTAGAAGCAAAATAATCGAATTTTTAAATAAAAGTAATCATTGAGAAAATGAGTTTTGATTAAGGGAAAAAAAGGTTTTGGTTTAGAAACTCAATTTAGGACACTCATAATGCTCTCCCAGATGCTAATATTGAAGAGTCATTAAGATATTAGTGTGAAGCTATTGTTAATACTTATTTGATATATATTTAATATTAAATAACAAAAGATAAAGTGAAAATTAGATATAGATTAACAATTAATTGATAACCTATTCCCAAAAGTTTTTTTATAATTTATTGATAATTTTTCCCTATATATATTTAAAAATCATTCTCATCAGAACATGAGATATCCAAAAACGATTGTTGATAATCCAAGTATGTATCCTGAATCAGTTGTTGTATTGTTATCAGTGTTGTTTGTGTTGTTATCTGTATTATTTGGTTAAACAACAACTGCAGTGCAAACTCCACATTTGCTTGTTGATGCATTCCAGGTATATGTATAACCAGAAACCAAGAAGCAATCATTTAATGACAAAGTTGATGGGTCTGTGGCTGTGCATGCACCACTGACAAGAGTGCAAACTTATTAAGTCTTTTTGTCCCAATTCAAAAATCTTGTACAAACTCCATTTGTAGCTTAGTTTGTAGCGCAAGTGTGAGCAGCACATTTACTTGCAACAGCAGTGGCTCCAGTTCCTGATGCTGGAGTCCATGAACATCTATCTTTGGCAGCTTAACATGCAATTTAATCATTATTAGCTGTTGTACAAGCTGTCATTAAAGCACAAGTACCAGTACCTGCAGCAGCTCCAGTGGCAGTAGATTAAGTAAAAACACAAATTCCATCCAATCCACCAGAATTACAAGCAGTTTTAGTTGTATAAGTTGAGCAATTGGCTTTAGGAATGCATGCAGTTCCGTTTGAAACACAAGAAGATAAAGCAACTAGGCAAACATTTGTGGAGGTACCATTTTGAATATCAGCACAAGTTTATAATCTACATTTTGCAGTGTTATTATTGGTTGCAGATGCAAGTTCCCAATAGCAAATACCATCAGATCCAACTGCTGTTGTGCAGGCAGTTTAAGTTGTGTATGATGAACATGCTCCTTTGAGTAAACAAGTAGTTCCATCTGATGTGCAGGTTGACAATTATGAAGAACATGTGGAATGGTTTGTACCAGTTAAATCTGCACATGATTAATCTCTACAACTATTAGAAGTAGTATCCCAAGTACAAATTCCAGTTGAAGTAATAGATCCAGATGTATAAATAATTCCTTTATCGTTGAAATAACATCCTGCCTGTGAAGTATAAGAAGAACAAGCACCCAAAGCTATGCAACCAGTTGTTCCATTTGTTGTACACTATCTACTAGCTATCTAACAATCTGAATGAGTTGTGTAGAAAGCATCTGCGCAAGAAGTATATGGTTTACAAACCTTTGGATCTGGAGAATTCAAAGCTGGAACTGATTAGATACAAGCGCCGTCATATCCTGTGACACATCCACCATCTGTATTGGTTTCTGAACATTAAGTAATTCCAATACAACCAGACCCATTTGTTGTGCATTATTTACTAATCCATTTGCATTATAAATCAGTATTCCAAGATAAACTCTTGCATGATGTATATCTGAAGCAAGCTCCTTTTGATCCATCAGTGTTAACGAAATCATTAATCCACAAACATGGTCCATTTGTTCCTTCAATACAAGCACTTCTAATTTAAGTTTGTTCGCAATTTTAAACTTTGGCACATTTTCCATTTGCACCAGCAGTACATCCAGCTCTTTAGGCTTAACATGCTGAATGAGTTGTTCCACTAAAATCTTAACAATCTTTGTCTCTGCATCTATTTTATGCACTATCCCAAGCACAAATTGTACCATTAAGAGCAGTTGTACAGGCAGCATCAATAGTGACAGCTGAACAAGTAGTTTTAGCAACACATCCACCACCATTCTTTGTAGTGCAATTAGTGAAATAACCTGCACAGGCTGCTTCTGAAGTTAAAGTAACTGGGGCTGTACTGCATGTCTTTATAGTACAATATGCTTAATTAGTACCTGCAGCTGGTATCCATTCACATTATTGATTTGTTGATGAAGTAACACAACCAGCTTGATTCAAAGCTTGGAAACAAGTTCCTCTAGTAACACAATTTGTACCATTGGTTGTACATGTGCTAAGAGCTTATTTGCATAAGGCATCTGTGGCAAATGCGAAATCTTCACAAACCTTTGGTTTACATTTAACATTATCTAAAGTGCATCCAGCTAAATATGTATTACATTCTTCAGCTGTAACTGTTGCATCTGGAGCATTTTCGCATGTTCTTGTGATACAAGCTGTTCCGTTCCAATAGCATGGATCACCAGCCTTATTATAATAGCATTATTTCTATGTCATTGTTTCACAAGTGGCAGGAATATCTACACATCCTTATCCAGATTCTGAGACAGTGCATTTATTCGAGATGTAAGCTCTACACTTTGTATCATCATCATAATCGGCGGTGGCAGGAGCAGTTGCACAAGATTTGTCAGCACATTATGTTCCATTCCATCCACATGGATCCCCATTAGCATTAATTTGACATTATTCTTTATCAATGTAAGTTGAACATGCTGCTGTTTATTAACATCCTTACAATGTAGGATTACCACCACTATTACTTGGAATGGCAGCCACTGTACATTTTACTGTTGCAGTATTATAATAAGCATAACAATCATTATGAGTTGTAGTAGAATTTGGAGCACTAGTACAAGATTTATCCTGACAAACAGCTGGAGTTACATTAGTATTCCAAACGCAAACACCATTACTGGCATTTGTTCTACATTGATCTTCAATAGTATATGCACTGCATGCTCCTCTAGCCATACAACCAGGAGCAGCAGAGCCATTTGAGGCTCGAACGGTGCATGATGAATCTACTGCTACACATTCAGCATGAGTATCATATGAAGATGTGGCCTCAATATTACCACAATTCAAATCAACACAAGTCAAGTTGGTTGGATTCCAGAAACATCTTCCACCACTTGTATTGAATTTACATTATAAGGTTGATTTATAAGTTGAACAAGCAGCTCTTGCTTAGCAACCTCCTGTTCTTGCAACAGTGCATGAAGATAAATAACCGATACAGAGAGAATGAGTGCCAAAGCTTGAAGCTGGAAGTGCAGTATCACAGGTCTTTCTGACACAAGATGTACCTTAGACTACACACTCTCCTTCAACTGACCAAAGGCATGATGCTTGTGTTTAGACGGCACATGTTGCTGGCATAGTTGTGCATGCGGTATTTCCAACATTTGTAGTACAAGTATTCAACCAACCATTACAATTAGCATGATTAAAAGTAGGTCCTGCATAATTAGCACATGTTTTAGTTTAGCATCCTGTTGTACTTAAATTAGTGCAACTATCTTTAAATAAGTTACATTTTGCATGAGTATAGTTACCAGCTCCTAAATATAAAGCATCACAAGTAGTTGAGGCTGTCAAACTGAGACATGAATTATCTGAGCTATTAGCAATGCAATAACCAGCAGTGGATTTATAACAATTAACTATTGATGTATATCCTGAGCACTATGCTTAAATTGTAACACAGCCACTTCCATCTCTCTTTACACTACAAGATGTATTGTAAGCTTAGCAATTAGCAAAACTTGGGCTTGCAACCGGAGCAGTTTCGCAGGTTAGCGCTAAACATGCTGTTCCACCAGCATTAATAGTACAATCAGTGCTGTATCCTTAACAGATTGCATGAGTATTATTTGGACTTGTTAATCCTGTAATAAGAGTACAATTAGCTGAGGTAATATCTACACAAGCAGCAGGAGTAGCACTTGCATTCCAAAAACATTTCAAACCACCAGTTTTTGTTTCACAATCAGCTTAAATGTATCCAGCGCAAGTAGCTTACAAAGGCTTACAGGCATTCCCAGCAACATTAATAGTACAATCAGTGCTGTATCCTTAACAGATTGCATGAGTATTATTTGGACTTGTTAATGATGTGAGAAGGTTACAATTAGTTGAAGTAATATCTACACAAGCAGCAGGAGTAGCACTTGCATTCCAAAAACATTTCAAACCACCAGTTTTGACATTACAATCCACTTCAGCATAACCAGTGCAATTTGCTTAAATAGCTCTACATTCAGTGGCTCCAGTTTTAATAGTACAGTCAGTACTATATGATTAACAATGGGCATGAGTATTATTTGGACTTGTTAATCCTGTAATAAGAGTACAATTAGCTGAGGTAATATCTACACAAGCAGCAGGAGTAGCACTTGCATTCCAAAAACATTTCAAACCACCAGTTTTTGTTTCACAATCAGCTTAAATGTATCCAGCGCAAGTAGCTTACAAAGGCTTACAGGCATTCCCAGCAACATTAATAGTACAATCAGTGCTGTATCCTTAACAGATTGCATGAGTATTATTTGGACTTGTTAATGATGTGAGAAGGGTACAATTAGCTGAAGTAATATCTACACAAGCAGCAGGAGTAGCACTTGCATTCCAAAAACATTTCAAACCACCAGTTTTGACATTACATTCCACTTCAGCATAACCAGTGCAATTTGCTTAAATAGCTCTACATTCAGTGGCTCCAGTTTTAATAGTACAGTCAGTACTATATGATTAACAATGGGCATGAGTATTATTTGGACTTGTTAATCCTGTAATAAGAGTACAATTAGCTGAAGTAATATCTACACAAGCAGCAGGAGTAGCACTTGCATTCCAAAAACATTTCAAACCACCAGTTTTGACATTACATTCCACTTCAGCATAACCAGTGCAATTTGCTTAAATAGCTCTACATTCAGTGGCTCCAGTTTTAATAGTACAGTCAGTACTATATGATTAACAATGGGCATGAGTATTATTTGGACTTGTTAATCCTGTAATAAGAGTACAATTAGCTGAAGTAATATCTACACAAGCAGCAGGAGTAGCACTTGCATTCCAAAAACATTTCAAACCACCAGTTTTGACATTACATTCCACTTCAGCATAACCAGTGCAATTTGCTTAAATAGCTCTACATTCAGTGGCTCCAGTTTTAATAGTACAGTCAGTACTATATGATTAACAATGGGCATGAGTATTATTTGGACTTGTTAATCCTGTAATAAGAGTACAATTAGCTGAAGTAATATCTACACAAGCAGCAGGAGTAGCACTTGCATTCCAAAAACATTTCAAACCACCAGTTTTGACATTACATTCCACTTCAGCATAACCAGTGCAATTTGCTTAAATAGCTCTACATTCAGTGGCTCCAGTTTTAATAGTACAGTCAGTACTATATGATTAACAATGGGCATGAGTATTATTTGGACTTGTTAATCCTGTAATAAGAGTACAATTAGCTGAGGTAATATCTACACAAGCAGCAGGAGTAGCACTTGCATTCCAAAAACATTTCAAACCACCAGTTTTTGTTTCACAATCAGCTTAAATGTATCCAGCGCAAGTAGCTTACAAAGGCTTACAGGCATTCCCAGCAACATTAATAGTACAATCAGTGCTGTATCCTTAACAGATTGCATGAGTATTATTTGGACTTGTTAATGATGTGAGAAGGTTACAATTAGCTGAAGTAATATCTACACAAGCAGCAGGAGTAGCACTTGCATTCCAAAAACATTTCAAACCACCAGTTTTGACATTACATTCCACTTCAGCATAACCAGTGCAATTTGCTTAAATAGCTCTACATTCAGTGGCTCCAGTTTTAATAGTACAGTCAGTACTATATGATTAACAATGGGCATGAGTATTATTTGGACTTGTTAATCCTGTAATAAGAGTACAATTAGCTGAGGTAATATCTACACAAGCAGCAGGAGTAGCACTTGCATTCCAAAAACATTTCAAACCACCAGTTTTTGTTTCACAATCAGCTTAAATGTATCCAGCGCAAGTAGCTTACAAAGGCTTACAGGCATTCCCAGCAACATTAATAGTACAATCAGTGCTGTATCCTTAACAGATTGCATGAGTATTATTTGGACTTGTTAATGATGTGAGAAGGTTACAATTAGTTGAAGTAATATCTACACAAGCAGCAGGAGTAGCACTTGCATTCCAAAAACATTTCAAACCACCAGTTTTGACATTACAATCTGCTTATGCATAACTACTGCAAGCTGCTGATAAGGTTACACATGCAGTTCCAGCAACATTAATAGTACAAGAAGTATTGTATCCTTAACAAGTAGCATGAGTATTATTTGGACTTGTCAGGCCAGTTATATTTGTACAAGAAAATGTACAAGCATCTCCATCAGTAGCACTAACTGTATTCGTACAACCTGTTTTCAGTTATTCACAATAGGTTTTTGTTCCTTTAAAAGTTGAACATGCCCCTGCAAGATATGTATTTGAAAAGCACTTGCTAAGACTTGCATTCCAGGTACAGTCATCTGAGCTTGCTGTCAAAGTTCTATAGCATTAAGTTTATGAGACATAATCACTACAATTAGCTGATCTTGTCACGCAACCTTATCCTCCAGTTTTATAAACCACAGTGCAAGTTTCACTTGGTGTTGGATAGGCTGAACACAATGCATCTGTATTAAAAGAAGAAGTATCAGCTGCATCAGCACAAGTTGCACTCCTACAAGCTGTTCCAGTCCAAATACAAGTTTTCTAAGTGGATGTAGTTTTACAATTCTCAGATGATCCATAGGAAGTACAAGTAGCAGCTAATGGTTAACAAGCTGTTTTGCCATTATTTGTTGTGCATGTATTCAATACACCTTAACAAGCTAAGTGAGTAGCTAGAGGAATATTTGCACAAGTTCTATCAACACAATTAGTTCCATTCCAATAACAATCTCCACTTGCTTTTGATCCTAATTGACAATTTTAAGAATTTAATCCTGAACAACTAGAAGGTTTAGCAATGCATCCATCTTAATTGTTGTTTGAAATACAAGTAGGGAGATATCCTTAACAATTAGAGAAAGTAAATGTTAATAGTACACCTGGTGTTCCTGCAGTACTAGCAGTAGTACAGGATTTTTCAACACATGTAGATGTAGTACTGTTCCAAAGGCATGTTGGGAATCCAATTCTTGTGATTGAACAATTTTCAGATGATTTTCTAGCAGCGCATGTTGTTGGTAAATCTTAGCATCCTTAAATAGTAGGAGAACCATTGACAGTCACAGGGTTATTAGCAACACAATCTGTTTTGTAATTATTGCAATCATTTGTTGTTTATATTGTTTTTGGAGCAGTAGAACAAGCCTTATCAATACATTATGAACCATTCCAACCACATGTTGGGTATGATTTAACTGAGTTTGTAATTTATAATCTAATATTACAAGCAGCTTCTATAGTAATTGCTTCACATTTAAGAGGAATAGGTACACATCCAAAACCAGTATTACTCAATGTACAACTTGAATCATAAGTTTAACAATCAGCATGAGTTGCTGTAGTTGATGAAGCTAACACACATTATTTTTTGTAACATTTTCCTTTCCAAATACAAATTTTGTTATTAAAATCTTTATCGCAAATAGCTTAAGTTAATGTATTTTCGCATGTTTTATCGACACAACCTGCGCTGGCTGAATTAACTGTACATGTTGATAAAAAGGCCACACATAGATCATGTGTAGTATTAGATGATGGAGCATTAGTGCAAATTTTATCCTTACAAGTTGAACTTGCAGAATCCCAAAAACAGGTAGCTCCAGAAGAATTCTTGATACAAGCAGCTTCTAAAGAAATTAGTGCGCATGTAGTATTTACAACGCAGCCTCCTCCAGTCTTTGTTATACAGTTACTTGATGGTAAATAGGCTTCACAAGCATCATTTGTGGTTAATGTTGTGGGAGCATTTACACAAGTTCTATTTTAGCATCCACCTCCTGATTTAACAGTGCAGGTAGCTAAGTAAGATGTACATAAATCATGGGTATTATTAGTAATTGGGGCATTTGCGCAAGTTTTTTCTTTGCATGTTGTATCCCAAATGCAATCAATTCCCGATGTATTCTTAACACAAGCTGCTTAGATATTTGCAGCTGAGCAAGCTCCATTGGATACACATCCTCCTCCTGATTTAGTAATACATCCTGTGACAAATCCAGCGCAAGCAGAATTAGTAGTCATTGTTGTTGGAGCATTTGTACAAGATTTATCAACACATGCAGTTCCATTCCAATAGCAATCGCCACCTGTGCTATTCTTAATACAAGCAGCTTAGATAGTTGCAGCAGCACAAGTAGTTCTGGTTACACATCCTCCATTAGCTTTTGTTGTGCATGTACCATCTGTTCTAAAGGCTTTGCAAGTTTCATCAGTTGTTAATGTTGTTGGTGCATTATCACAAATTCTGTCTTTGCATGCTGCTCCATCCCAATAGCAAGCAACTGTTTTTAATTTATTCCAAACACATTAAATTTCTAATGTTTAATCACTGCAATTGTTTCCACTATCAATACATCCTCCTCCAGTCTTAGTTGTACAAGTTGATATCACATCTCTACAATCCTTGTCAGTAGCAAATGTAATTGGTAATCTATCACAGGTGTTAGCATCTACACAACTGTTATTTGTTGCATCCCAAAAGCATAAACTTCCAGCAGCATTTTTATCACAAGGAAGTTATTTCTTGTATGTACTGCAAGCATCAATTTCAACACAATGAGTTCCATCTGTTATGCATCTATTACTAATTGCTTAACATTCATCCTTAGTTGTTTTATTAAAGGCTGTGCATCCTGTAAAGTATGTGCATTTTTTATCCACCCATGCACATGCAGCATATGTACCACAATCTGTACAAGGCTTAGCTTTTGGACAGTCTGTTTCAGCGAAAGTATCACAATAAGCTGCATAGGTCACTGATGGAACTACGGGAGTAGTTGAAACAGCACATGCTTTTTTTGCGCCATCCCAAGAACATCCAAGAGAGGCATTTTTAGTACAATCTCCTTCTGACAATAATTAAGCACATGTGCATTGTGCTATACTATATGTTTAACATGTTGCCAAAACAAGCAACAATGAAAATATGATGAATTTTTTATTCATAAAAAGTATTATTTCTAACTAATAACATTTTCAAATATTTAAATCATAATTTATTTAATTTTCTTTCATTTTTTTCATACATTCGAATTTCATTTAATATGAGGTTCAGAATTTCAATTATGAATTAATTTACATTATTAATATTTATATATTGTGAATATAGAAGGTGATCAATATGGTAATTGATGGTAATTGAAGAGGGCTATCTCTAAATTAGAAAACTGATAAGAATATTCTGATTTTGTGTTCATAATATTTTTTTTCTCATTTCTTTTTTGTATAGCAATTATGTTCAAGTTGCTATACATTAAATTCTGTATACAAAAAAGAACGAAAATATTTTTTAAATAAGATGTTTGATTTGCAAAAGCCTTTTGTGTAGGAAAATGCAATTTAGGAAAGAAGGAACAGGCTTAAGTTTATATCGAAGTAATATTTATTTGTATAAAGTGCCATATGTTAAAAAATGAAATGAAGTGATGCTTTTAAAAATAAAATTTCATCAGTCTTTATGTATTTAATGCTTTTTAACGATTAAATGCCCATTTTTTTATTTCCAATTGAGTAATTGAACTCAATTTTTTTTCAATTTCTATTTTTAGAATAAGAGGATAAATGGAACACAAAAGAAGAAAAGGAAACAAAAATGACATAAATCTCGATTAAAAATGATAAATATTGAAATAGAAGCTTTACAAACCAAAATTTCGAGTACATCAATCTAAGACGCCATTAATTCCTTTTTTCAAAAAAAAAAAAAAAAGGTTTCACGAGATTTTCATCTTCAAAAGGCATGAATCTTTAATCATTATAATTATCATTATCAATGAATAAAAAAATTTTAATATATTAATAAGGTACGAATATTCTGGTGTAATTAACCAATAAATTTTCTCGAAATATTATTAAATCCATTTATTGCTTTAAACCCATTCATAAATTAATCTTGAATAAATTCAAGTATTTTGAATCAGTTTTTATAAAAACATAAGGTATTTTTCTCTTTCAACTATTCTCTTTTATTTTATATTTTTTCTTATCAAGTATAAATCAACAAATATCATTTAGTCAAAATTCTATATCAATCAAATTTTATAAAAATGGAGGGATTTATATTTTTCCAGAATTATTTGAAATTGGTAAAATTAAAATTAATTTATGGCGACAGAAGGTAATAAAAAATTTAGTGTATTATTAATCAAGATCAAAACTGAATATTCTAACTAATATATGGAAATCATTAAATAATAGGAAATTATCTGAATATTTTTGGATTTAAAATTTACTTTGAAATTTACACACTAACAACAATAATAATTTTTAATATGAGAAAAAAAGAATAAATGAATTATATTTTAGAGATTTTAGAATAAATTATATTTAATAAATATTGTATTTAAAAATAATTGATTAGATTATAAGCAAGGATTCTTTTATATGTTTTTATATTGATTCTAAATTTTGTTTCCTTTTCCATTTTTGAGAATTCATGCAATCAAAACTCATTAGTATTTTACTTTCTCTTAACTTCTAATATCAACTATTAGAGATATTAGTTAAAAAATTATAGTATTTTTAATATGTCGTTTTACATGTTAATTTTAGGAAATCAATGATTTTTTACCATTCGATAAATTTACAAAAATATACCGGCTAATTTTTTTTATTTATGAAGTTTAAAGAGTGATCCTTTTCATTTTAGACCTGATTTCATTTGTATTTGATTATTAAAACCCAATTTGCTCAATGGATTTATCCCCACTATGAAAACATATTTGCATTTTAATGGTGCATAAATGTAATAAATTCATAAATAATTCTACCATAATTTCTTAGATTATTAATTTTAGTTTTATTTCATTTTAAGGAACGATTTCTATAAAAGATATCATATTGCAATTTAATATTATGAATTCTAATTAATACCTAAATATAATTAATAATTAAAAGAAACTATAAAAAATTATTAAAATAATTAATTATTCTTAATTGAAGAATAAATAAATTAATATAAAAGTTTGAAATATTAATTTTATAAAATTTTTAATAGCAATTCATAATTTGTTCTTAATTAGTCTACTATTTTCCTATTTATATTTTTAAATTGTAACATTTTTTAATTTTAATTACAATTAAATAATATCATTATAAAGATAGTTTAAAAAGTTCCAATTTGTGTTTATTTTCTAAAATAGAAAAAAAAGTGTGTGAAATTAGTTCATAGGAAGATAGTTCAAAAGATCAAGATCGCCTTTACGCGAAGTAAATATATAAAACACTTAATTTAGAATCAATTCAATAATAATTAATAAATCAAGTAAAATTATAAAGAATGTAATAGCACAATCACACCAAACAAGAAAGGATATAATAACAAATATCATTTACATATATTTATATTGATAAGAATTAATTATTTAGATATATTAATTAATTCAAAAGAATCAATTAATTTCCTCAAATCATAAAATTATAGAATTAATATTTTAATATCATAAGGTAACTTACTAAAGTATTCATTAAGATCCTTTTGAGTCTATAATTCATTTATCCTCCAATTATTGTAGCTGAATATTAAAAATTGTCAATGCTCATTTTGGTCAATTCTTGGTAAAATTAAAATTGAATATTAATGGCTGGGGTCACTTTTTGTTCCCAGTTTTTTTAAATTTCAAAATTTATATTCCAATCGGTGAAATACTATTAATGACTAGAACAAGAAGGATTCCCCTTTTTTTCTTTCATAAAAAAACGGAAAAGCCATTCAATTTTTTTATCCTAATATCCATACTAATCTAACTAGTTTAATAAGATCTAGAAAGGGTCCAAAAAGAGTAACTAAAGGAACTTGTTTTTGATTTATATCTAATTCTACTTTCTATCCTTTTCTTGATAGGTTAACTCCCAAGTCTTTATGGAGGCTACTAATAATCTTCTAGATTAGTCCTGAATGAGGATACATTCAAGCTTAGTCTTGAATTAAGAAGGTAGCTTCGCTTCATAAAGGTTAAAGTAGTTAGTNTCATAAATAATTCTACCATAATTTCTTAGATTATTAATTTTAGTTTTATTTCATTTTAAGGAACGATTTCTATAAAAGATATCATATTGCAATTTAATATTATGAATTCTAATTAATACCTAAATATAATTAATAATTAAAAGAAACTATAAAAAATTATTAAAATAATTAATTATTCTTAATTGAAGAATAAATAAATTAATATAAAAGTTTGAAATATTAATTTTATAAAATTTTTAATAGCAATTCATAATTTGTTCTTAATTAGTCTACTATTTTCCTATTTATATTTTTAAATTGTAACATTTTTTAATTTTAATTACAATTAAATAATATCATTATAAAGATAGTTTAAAAAGTTCCAATTTGTGTTTATTTTCTAAAATAGAAAAAAAAGTGTGTGAAATTAGTTCATAGGAAGATAGTTCAAAAGATCAAGATCGCCTTTACGCGAAGTAAATATATAAAACACTTAATTTAGAATCAATTCAATAATAATTAATAAATCAAGTAAAATTATAAAGAATGTAATAGCACAATCACACCAAACAAGAAAGGATATAATAACAAATATCATTTACATATATTTATATTGATAAGAATTAATTATTTAGATATATTAATTAATTCAAAAGAATCAATTAATTTCCTCAAATCATAAAATTATAGAATTAATATTTTAATATCATAAGGTAACTTACTAAAGTATTCATTAAGATCCTTTTGAGTCTATAATTCATTTATCCTCCAATTATTGTAGCTGAATATTAAAAATTGTCAATGCTCATTTTGGTCAATTCTTGGTAAAATTAAAATTGAATATTAATGGCTGGGGTCACTTTTTGTTCCCAGTTTTTTTAAATTTCAAAATTTATATTCCAATCGGTGAAATACTATTAATGACTAGAACAAGAAGGATTCCCCTTTTTTTCTTTCATAAAAAAACGGAAAAGCCATTCAATTTTTTTATCCTAATATCCATACTAATCTAACTAGTTTAATAAGATCTAGAAAGGGTCCAAAAAGAGTAACTAAAGGAACTTGTTTTTGATTTATATCTAATTCTACTTTCTATCCTTTTCTTGATAGGTTAACTCCCAAGTCTTTATGGAGGCTACTAATAATCTTCTAGATTAGTCCTGAATGAGGATACATTCAAGCTTAGTCTTGAATTAAGAAGGTAGCTTCGCTTCATAAAGGTTAAAGTAGTTAGTCTTTAATAAACTTTCATTAACTTTTAAAAACTATTTTTAATTCAATTAATATGAATGTTGACATTTATTTCATAATGCGATTTTGATTTGAAATAAAATGATAGTTTCAATTAATTTTTAAGCTAAAAGATAGTATATTACTTTTAGAGGATAGTGTTTTATAACATCAATAAATAAAATTTTATTAATATCCTTTAAATAAGTAAATTCATTGGTATTATTTTACAGCACACAATATATGATAATGTAAAGTTTAATTACTAATTTAAATTATTATTTTCTATAGCATGCTGAGATTTATTTCAATAATGATACGCTATTCTCAGCTTTGTTCATTTGAGCATGTGATAAAATTTCTTACTTCTAAAATAGCATTAATAATCTTAATAATTGTAATTATCAATCTAATTAATATGAACATTAATAGCATTTCTTGAGTGAATAACAGACCATGTACTATCTCCATTAATTATGTAAAATTGTTTTCAATTAATTCAGAGAATGTTTAAATAAATTGAATGATTTTTTAATTCACAAATCTAGAGATTACTATTTTTAAACTAATAAATAACATATTATTATAAATATTTTGTTTATAAACACAAGTCTAAAATTACTCTTTATTCAAATAGTTTGAACTTATTATAAATATTGAAAAGTTCGAGTTTAGCTCATTATTATATTAATATCAGTTACAAGTAAAACTTCTTTGAGTTCCTCAATAAGTGCTGACTTAAAATCTATTATTTCAATTATATATATGATTTCTATTTAATTAAACTAAGTTGCAATAATCTAAAAAAAAATTCTCCAGTATTAGTAAGATGTGTTAGTTCCTTTCAATTATTCTTCATCATTAGAAAATTATTTATCTATAATAATATACATTTAAATCAAAAATATTATTTAATAGACTATTTTGGAAAATCAACTAAAACCTTATTTTAATAGAATTAGCATTCTAATACCGAATAATAATAATAAATATAAAAGTTTCTAAGATGGATTAAGAAGCAATCTTAAAGTTAAAATGTTTAAAAAATGATCATTTTTTTCAGATAGAAACTGTTTGTTATAACTAATTTTGCCAAGAATTCCGATTAAATTGTCTAAAATGCATCAATGAAGGAGCCCATCATTCTCATTTTAATGATGTTCAAAAAGTACACAGCTTGGAGGAATTAATTGAAAATTGTAATAAGGAATGTAATAAGTTTATTAATGAACTTAAAAATTTTATCGAAGGTTTGAATTAATCATTCTCATAATTTACAAAGGGAATAAGAGAAAAATATTCTTTATTAAATGGAAAATGTTTGAATATAAATTTGTAATAAATCAATGATTTCTTGAATTAAGCTCTAGAATTCAAAGAATACAGATAGTCGATTACAAATATCATTTAAGAATAAAGTAAAAAAATAAATCATTCATTTTAAAATTTATATGAATAATTAAAATTATAATAACTTAGTTATAGTTTGAAAAATGATAATGACATTAAATAATCATAAGAATTTTATAGTAAAGGTAATCAATCAGATTAATAAAATCTTTAGGTTATAAATTATATTGTGATTCTCAACTTGATTAATCAATAGAATTGTTAGATGTATCAATTTAATTAGATCCTAATAATTTTCAATCTCTATGGTGTAAAGGTAATGATAATATATTATTGTTATTAGGAGCATGTTTAAGATTGTAAGATAAATATGATGATGCATTAATATTGTTGGATAAAGCATTAGCTATTAATCCTAAGCATGTTAATTCCTTAAGTAATAAAGGTAGATATAATTTCAATTAAATTATTAGGTGCCTGCTTAAGATCACTAAAAAGATTTGACGATTCTTTAAAGTGTTTTGATTTAGCCCTCTCTATTGATCCCTTTAACACCTTCTCACTACAAACCAAAGGTATTTTATTGTTTTATTTTTTAGGGTTATGTTTACAAGATTAAAAAAAATATAGAGAAGCTGTGATTTATTATGAAAAATCATTAAAGTATAAACCTAATGATAAATGGGTAAAAAACTAAAAGGGTATACTTANGCTCATTATTATATTAATATCAGTTACAAGTAAAACTTCTTTGAGTTCCTCAATAAGTGCTGACTTAAAATCTATTATTTCAATTATATATATGATTTCTATTTAATTAAACTAAGTTGCAATAATCTAAAAAAAAATTCTCCAGTATTAGTAAGATGTGTTAGTTCCTTTCAATTATTCTTCATCATTAGAAAATTATTTATCTATAATAATATACATTTAAATCAAAAATATTATTTAATAGACTATTTTGGAAAATCAACTAAAACCTTATTTTAATAGAATTAGCATTCTAATACCGAATAATAATAATAAATATAAAAGTTTCTAAGATGGATTAAGAAGCAATCTTAAAGTTAAAATGTTTAAAAAATGATCATTTTTTTCAGATAGAAACTGTTTGTTATAACTAATTTTGCCAAGAATTCCGATTAAATTGTCTAAAATGCATCAATGAAGGAGCCCATCATTCTCATTTTAATGATGTTCAAAAAGTACACAGCTTGGAGGAATTAATTGAAAATTGTAATAAGGAATGTAATAAGTTTATTAATGAACTTAAAAATTTTATCGAAGGTTTGAATTAATCATTCTCATAATTTACAAAGGGAATAAGAGAAAAATATTCTTTATTAAATGGAAAATGTTTGAATATAAATTTGTAATAAATCAATGATTTCTTGAATTAAGCTCTAGAATTCAAAGAATACAGATAGTCGATTACAAATATCATTTAAGAATAAAGTAAAAAAATAAATCATTCATTTTAAAATTTATATGAATAATTAAAATTATAATAACTTAGTTATAGTTTGAAAAATGATAATGACATTAAATAATCATAAGAATTTTATAGTAAAGGTAATCAATCAGATTAATAAAATCTTTAGGTTATAAATTATATTGTGATTCTCAACTTGATTAATCAATAGAATTGTTAGATGTATCAATTTAATTAGATCCTAATAATTTTCAATCTCTATGGTGTAAAGGTAATGATAATATATTATTGTTATTAGGAGCATGTTTAAGATTGTAAGATAAATATGATGATGCATTAATATTGTTGGATAAAGCATTAGCTATTAATCCTAAGCATGTTAATTCCTTAAGTAATAAAGGTAGATATAATTTCAATTAAATTATTAGGTGCCTGCTTAAGATCACTAAAAAGATTTGACGATTCTTTAAAGTGTTTTGATTTAGCCCTCTCTATTGATCCCTTTAACACCTTCTCACTACAAACCAAAGGTATTTTATTGTTTTATTTTTTAGGGTTATGTTTACAAGATTAAAAAAAATATAGAGAAGCTGTGATTTATTATGAAAAATCATTAAAGTATAAACCTAATGATAAATGGGTAAAAAACTAAAAGGGTATACTTAATTTGTTAATTTAGATTTTTGTGAACAGAAATTGAAGGAATGATTATAAAAACTATATGTATTTATTATTATATTTTCTATCCTAATGAATGATATTATATATTCTATAAAATGATTTGAAGAGATTCTTAATACAAAATAGATTTCATAGATACCTAATAAAAACATAAATTAGAAATAAAATTATATTACTTTAGATTATCATATTAATGTTCATTTCTAGTTAAGCAGGTTATTTTATTAGATTATGAAAAGAAGGAAATTATTGGTTTAAATAAATTGAAATTTATCAATATTTTTCAGAATACTTATGCATCTTTTCGCTAAAACTGTGTTAATGTTTCAAAAATTATATCAATATCAGCACAAACTTAAGGAAAAAATAATTAAATAAAGTTTTAAGTTTATATTTAGTAAATATATTTATGAAATTAGGGAATTCAAAGTCAAAAAGTAGAAAAATAACGAAATATTAATTAGCCAATAGAGTTTAAGATTGAAATTAAAAGGAAGGGAATGGATTGATCACTGGATTTGTAGTTAAAAAGAATATTGAATACCAACCTAAATTTTCAAACGATTTGAAAAATTCAAAAATTGTGACATAATTAATTTCATATATTAAAAATAGATCAACACTTATATTTCTAGAATTACTACTACTAAATTTGAATTAAGTTTCATTAAATAATAAAAATAAATTGAGTAAAATTATAAGTTGAAAATTTCAAAAATTGAGTTAAATTTGCATTTAGAGATTGGAATATTATTAAATAAAAGTGATTGATAAAGCAGACTTTTCAACACATTTAGCATCCATTTAACTTTTTTTTATTTAATAGATTAAACATATATTTGCATGATATAATTTAAATTGGTGAATTTAAATGCAATCAAATGTTATAAATGACATATATTCCTGTGTTTATATGAATAAAAATTATTCATGGTTTGAATTCCTAGTATAGAATGTTTAATCTATCCTATTTATTGTCCATATTGCGATGATAATAATAATAAATATATTTTAGAATAAAATCTATGCGAATACATAGTTGGATATTATATTAATGATATTTTAGTTTTTTTAAACTAATTCATATGTGAAGTTGGATCTAATTACAATTATTAATTATTAATTTTATTTGTTGCATCATATAGAATGAAAAGGTTAGAATAAGGGTTTTTGTATAAACATTATAGTGTATATAAAGCTTCTTAAAATCTAAATCTCCAAATAAAAAAAAATCTGCCATAATAAGAATAACCAGAAGATTATTGAAATTAGAAAAAAAAAAATAAAAAAATTTGCTTGGTATTCCTTTTCAAAGAAATTATAAGTACCTTGGAGTAGATATTGATGGAAGGTGGAATATTAATTATCATGTCAATGCTACCAAATCAAAAATAAAATATTTAAAATTGTAAATAAAGAAACTATCTCAAGACTTTAGTCTAGGAACCAGAATTTTACTTTGGAATATATATTTTAAACCTCAAATCTAATATATAATTCCGATGTTATTCACTTAAACAAAAATAACATAACATTAAATTAATGCTATTTGGAAGTAAAGTATGAAGAGGTTTCTATAATTGCCCTAATTTACAAATGATTGGTTTCTTTAACTAATTTAAGGATCATATTTGGACATAGCAATTGAAAAATAATGGGAAACATCAATAAAGTGTTAATTCAGACATGGAGAGGAAGAACAAATTATGGATATTAAAAAAAGAAAAAAAGAAACCTACTGATTTATGAATTTACCAAATGATCTTAAATATCTGTTTCTATTGAATTTAAGCAAATGCAAAATTCATATCAATAGGAAATGTGGACTTCTGCATTTATCTGAATATCATGGAATAAACTTCTATTATATATTAGAAAAAGCCATTAAAAGCAAAAATAATTATCGCATTTTGTTAAGATGGTTATTATTTTATTGAATTACAACTAGTTTAAGATGATCATCTAATTTTAGATAATTTAAAAACTGAAAATTCGCTTTGTTTATCATTTAATTTAATTGAAGCTAGAGTTATCAAAGTTGTAAATATCAAGATTTTACTGAACAAAATGATTAACATATATAAAAAGATTGTGATTATGGATTTGCAATCGACATAATGGGATATTTTATTTAATGCAAAATTAACCCAAAGTGAATTTTTGTGAAAATATTTTTGTTCAATCATCTAATTCAGAATCTAATATATGTTTTTGAATATAGTTTTAATTATATATCTTTGGAATTCATACAAATTCAACTAAACTGTTAGCTTTTAAAACATTAAGTTTTCTTTTATTTCATTTATTATCCTTTTAACCTAACCGATATTAATTTTCTTAATATGATTTGAATCAAACATTAAGCAAATGTTATTAATAAAATCTATTTACTCTTTTAGTATTTAATTCTAGCTTAACTTTAGAACACAAAATTAGCTATAATCAATGGCATACATGTCTAAAAACTAAATTTTCTGAATTGATCTTTTTGCTGTAGAGCAATTAATAAAAAATGTTAGCTATTGAAATTCTACACTGAAAATTATTTGAAAAAGATACATAATTCGTTATTAATAACAAATTTCACAAAAATAAATCATTTTTTATGCAAATATTATGAACTAATTAGGAATAGAATCAATCAACAGAAGATTAAATTTATAATTATAAGTTTTAAATCGAAGTTTAAATAATAAATATTAATTTATAAAAAAAATAAACTATATAATTTGCTAATTTAAAATTAGCTTGTTGATGAAAAAATAATTTCTTTTAATTCTACTCATTATTTTGAATATCAATCCAAATGATAAATATTATATAATTTGATTGTATTATGTTGTCATAATTTAATATAATATCATTTTTCAATTATCATCATCACTTCTTTCGAATTTAATAATGTACTTTTTGTTAGAATCTTGTTTGGAAATATTCTGAAATAACATTCTATCATTTTCTTTTGGTGATTTAGGACTCTGAATTCTTGAGCTTAGGAAGGATAGAAATTATCTATACTGCTTTGAGTTTTTTAATTATATTCTTGATAAAGAAATCAGATGATCTCTCAATTTCATAAAAAGATATTTGATTCTTTTTTCTCTCAATTTCTCTTTCTCTAAAATATTAGTTAATATAATAGTAATAATGAAATGAGGTACTTTCTAATTTAGAAGTTAATGTAATTTATTTAAAAATAGAAATTTAAAATATTTTATATAACTTCTAACTATGTCAAAAATAAAAGGGTAACACATTTTAGTGAAACATCCAATTATCAAAATTTATATGAGCATAGAAGGACCTAAATAATTCTTTTATTCACAAATTTATTTAGTCAATGCTAATAATACTGAAATTGAACAAATTTAACTACTCTATAGATCTAAATTATTAAATTTTCGATTAATGAATGGTTAATGAAAAGTTGCTAATATCTAATACATTAATAAGCATAAGCATAATAGGGATGCCTTTAAAACAATTTCAGTTTCAAAATTGGTCAAAATAAATATTAAGATTGCTTTTTTAAATAATTTAATTTATTCCCAATAAAATCTTTCCATTTTGTATTCATTCAATAAATAAGATATATGTCTTCTAATTTTAATTTTATCTAATATATTGTAATTTATCATCAATAGGATAAAAATCATTAGTGGGATCACAACACCAAACACAATCAAACCAGGAATTATAAAATAATACATCCATAAATAATGATCTTGCGTACCATATATCATAGAAACATCACCATGAATATAATCAATATTCGATATTTCTCTCCTGGAAACTATTGATGAAAACCTAATAACACTTAATAAATACATTTTAATTAATCCTGCAAAATTAAAAACATATAAATATATAGCTGTATTTGATAAAATGCTTATATCATACTTTTATTTTAGATACATCAAATATAAGTATGATCCAATAAATGTAATATTAAATTACATCACCATCAATATTATCATAATCATTATTTTCAGATAAACATTTGGTATCTATTAAATTTAGGATAAATAACAATCCAAATCTTTAGACATAAAATAAAAACTATCACTAGATTGTTCAATAAAAATAAAAGAGAAAGAAAAATCTATATTAAAAGTAAATATAACAGTAAATATCCAGAAATAATTTAACAACATTTTAATCTAAATACTATCATGATCTAATAATTAATTATTTAATTCTTACTTTAATTTAATTTAAATAATATCTTGCTATATCGTTGGCCCATCATTAATTATGCGTATAATTAATTAGAATAATGAATACTTTTTAAAGACATATACATAGATAAAAAAGCCCTATTATAATTCAAATTAAATACCAAGTTCCAACAATAAATAATGAGATAAAGTTACTCAAGTCAAATTAACATTTTAAGCATTATAAATCCCATTAGTTTTTAAAATAATTACCAAATCCCCTAATATTATATACATCACATTCTTCACACAATCCACCTATATGTCCTTAATTACATGTATAATCACCAACTTACCAGCCTCCATTACAAAATTATGAATTCTTAAAACAATATTCTGCATAATCTGATAAATTATGGGGTCTCCAAAATCCTTATTATAATTTTATCATATTTGAAGTGATATCAGAATACTTATCTTTATCAAAAATAGAGCATTTTATTGCATTGTATGTAACTGAATAATACCCCTAATTGGATAAACAAATCTAACATCCATCATTTATGTAAAATTCACCTAGTTAACATTTCAGGCTTCTTGCATTTATTAAATATATTAAATTATTTCTAGGTTCTTATATTTAACAATTAATTTCAATCTATAAATGGTCATATGTTTATTCATAAGGATCTAAGCTAAATAATAATGTTCCAAAATCAAAAGAATTCTTTTCATTATCATACAATAAGGTTTAAACATCTCTTAACCTATCTAATTCTTTGAATTATTTTGTGATAATTTTATTTGTAATTTTACAAGTGGAATTAAATAGATCAAAAAGTATTTCATTTCTACTATTTTTGTAATAAAATCTAATATCTTTAATAAAAGACTTATAATTAGAGTTCTGAAAATCAAAAATTTATAAAGACTTAATCACTTAATTACTAGGAATTATTAGATTAGTTGTATAAATATAATTTCCTTATTCAATCATTCGATACCTTTTGAGATTCAACATATTTATATATGTATTATTAATGAAATAATGTTTAGAAGGATTTTCCATGAAATTTAGATAAACAGCCAAATGTGTAGGAATCTCAACAACATTATCACCATATTCTTAAGCAATATTAAATAACAAAATTGAGGATACAAAATTATTTGTATTTAAATTACAATTGCCATCTAAATATATACCCCCTCCTACTCTAGCTCTATTACCTATAATATGTGATTGAATAATTTTAAAGTTCAAAGAATTTGATTAAAAATATAACCCTCCACCAAAATCTTGTGCGTAATTTTATATGATTTTACACGATTTTATTGATATTTTCACTTTTTATGCAAAAATAGCAACTCCCTTACTGCCATTATTGAAAAGGAAATTAGAATTTTCAATTTAGATTTTCGATTCAATTTCTGTTTATTATAAGCAATATAAACATCCATTTCTTTTGATGAAGTTATAATTACAATTTAATTGTTGAATTTTAATAGATTTAAATGTTTAGGTTTCAATAAAAACCATTCCATTATAACATTATTAACAATTATTTTAATCTAATTTAACATCTTTAAAAAATAAATTACTCTTATTAGAGATGATTTTAATATAAAGTAATGAATTATCTTTGTTATTAATTTATTATAGAGAACTAACACCTAAGAATAGATAATCATGTTGTAATTTTTAAAATGATTAGTAATAAGTTGTACATCCTCGAATAATATAATTGTTTGAGAAGTAATTTGGTGAATAATTTATATCATTCTTGTAAATAGAAATATTAGTGATACTGAGTTATTCGATATGAATTACTGTTTAAATTTATAATGATTAAGTGATTTTAATTAAATTAAAGAAGTAAAATAATTCAACATTTTCTATATTGATATAATAAAGTTATATTATGGGGATGTTCTCAAAATAAAATATAGAATTAATAATTATTCCCTTTATTTCAAAATTTTCTGCATTTACTATGCAATTTTACAAAAATATTAGAGAATTTTTATTATTTCCAATATCAGTGATTTCTTATACAGTTAAATCACCTATTCTTGAAAAATACTATTTCCATTCATCATATTCTTGAATAATTCTCACATTTTTCAAAGTAACTTTATTTTTATCAGCATTTGAAGATTAAAATTTAACATTGATTATCTAATCTTGTAAAGAAAGACAATTTAATAGGTTGATATCCTTTAAAAAGATAAAATTCGATGATTTAGAAGGTAAAATTGTAAAAATTATTGGTCCCATTCTATTAAATATATTGATTAATTAAACATTAATCATCTTTAAATTTAATTTACTATTTGAAGACTAAATATTAAAACAACCAATATTTTTTTCTATTTATTTTAAGTTGTTACTTGCTTAATTTACTTTGATATTAATAAAATTTAAAATGCCATCTGATTTTGTTGTAATATCAAATATATAACTGTCCATAGCCAATATATTTGAAAATGTGCAATTTATACAAGAAATGTTAGAACCCAAAAATTGAGATGCACCTCCTCCGTTATTTTTCATTTGTAAAATTTAATAAACTAAATTATTTAAGTTATCTTAACTAAATTATTGATTAAATTAAAGGTCATAATGATTTGTCCATAATTATTATGATAATAAATTTAAGTTATTTAATGTAAAATTAACTAATATTAATATATCTGATCTTAGAATCATAATTGAGTTAGAAGAATTAGTCAAAGCATTATTTTCATAAAATATATTTTCAATTTATAATACACTTGATGAAGACATTATGTATATTAAATTTAAAATAGTACTTACTGCACCACTTGAATAAGAATGGAGAAAATTTTCAATATATGAAATATTCTTCATTTGTATAGTTGGTTTACTATCGGATTCTATTCTTAAGCATGAGATAAGATCAACAAAAGTCGATTATATTAGGATATTTTCAGTAAATTCTAGATTAATAATCTCAATATAAGAATTTTATTATGGTAAACTTTGTTAACTTGAACTGATCTATATTATTGATTCATCAATATTGAAAATTTAAAAGATTTAAACATTAGCTATTAAAATATTTGTAAAGCCCAAAATATTGAGTAGTTTAGCTTTTTATTTTATTTTTAAACAGTCTTAGGATAATGGAATCTTTTAATTTTAAAGTGAATTCTTAAATATTATATCAGAAATAATAATTTCTTTATTTTCAGAAAGGTAAAATATGACTATATTGTAATTATTAGCAATTACAAAATTTGATATCACTATTTCATAACTACTTATATAAAATAACTGAATAATTTCATCTTATTTATAGAATCATCATTTTATAATCAATTAAATTTAAGATAAATTATATAAATCTCTATAGAATATTAAGAATTTTATTTAATATTGAAATTTATTAATTTAATTAATAAGGAATTTGTTTAAAAAGTAGAAAATATGAGAATTATATTTGCAGTTTATAATTCATTTTAAATAATATCCAAATTATTTATATTGCAAATAAATTAATTCTTAAATGTTATTTATGTAATAAATAGGAATTAAGAATAAACAAATAAATTTTCTGAAATTATTATTTAGTTGATTGAAATTTAATAACTAACCGCAATAATAGTTGAATTTTTTAAATAATTAAAACATAAGTCGAAGTTCTTTATACTAATTGTTATTTAAACAGTGCTATTTATGAAATAAGAGTGAACTAAACTATTATTTTTTATTTTTAATTCTTCTCCAAATAGAAACCCTAATAAAGGTTAATTGTTTGAGATACTAATTATTGATGAGTTTCTTAAATTAGATTAAAAAATATTAAATAGTTTAAATGATAGAAAGTATTCGATTTGGGAGAATTTAAATAATGCAGATTATATAAATGTACAATTTTTAATTGATAATGATGCTATTTATATTGATCCCAATAATTATTATTATTGAAAATTAAAAATAGATGAATTTAGAAATATAGAGTTCAAAATAGTAAAATTTATTATAGTTATATTACCAAATACTTCTGTTACAAATAATGAATTAATGTTGTTTATTGTACTATTTAGAATTGTAAAATTTTTAATTATTAAATGAATTTAATTCTTCCTATTATTAAACAGTAAATAATAATTGTTATCTATTACTAAGCCTAAATTGCTAATTTCAATTTAATCAAAATCATTAAATTGAATTGTAAACCCAAGTATTAATTCCAAATATTTTTTTGATTATAATTAAAGATTTACATTTTATAAGGTAAATATTGTTTTTTTCAACTCAGTCTAAAAGATTAATGGGAAAAATTAATAGCATAATTCTTAAGAGATACCAAAAGTAAAATTTACGGTTAATTTTTCAATTCCAATTTGATTAAAATATTAAGTATTGATATTAGACTCATAATATCGATTAAATCCTGAATAATCACAAGAATAATGAATAATTTCAAATATAAATTTATCCTGACAATCATTATTAAAGCAATACTTAATAAAATTTGAATAAGGATCATAAATAATTGGAGAATCTCTATATGGAAATATACACTTCTTAGTATAGATTTAATTTTAATCATTGACTATGAAATTTGGGGAAGTATTCTATTTATTATATTTATTTTTTATACTTAAATTTCTTCATCTGTACGATTAATGCATACTTAACATAATGGAGGACAATAGGAGCATTTAGTACTTGATTCTGTTATTACTTGTTTTTTGTAATAGTTTAAGGGACATTATTTACATTAAGAATCAACACACGATAAACATTCAAGATCACAAGGTTCATTAGAAATTGGATATGGATTCAAAAATGGATTATAAACGCTTAATTGAAGTGAAGGTACAAATTAAAGTAAAAAACCTTAAATTTAATTGACATAGTTTTGAATTAATTAAGTGTTAACATCAAAATCATCATTTTAGTAGCAATTATTATTTTCAATAATGTAATTGTTTTGACACATAACACATTTGATTTATTTTTCAACGTCTATAGTACATTATTAACAATTTGAAATTAGTTTATCACAATTAGATATTTAAGGGGCAATAGAAAAGTCATCATTATTTGAAAAAGTACATTTTTCCTTACTATTTATATCTATAAAAGATCTTAAACAATTTTCTATTTTAGGTTTTTAGAGTAAACATAAACCTAATGTAAAATCAAATAGATAATCTTATTCACAAAGTGCACAACCTATTTTGACATTTGATAGAAATAATAATTCAGATTATATTATATTCAATAATGAACATAAATTCAAATCTAGATCAGAATATTCAAAACAATAAATACAATTTTTGATTTCACATAATTTACATTAATTTTCGAATGAATAAAAATATTATGGTAAACAAATTTATTAATTATTTTTGTACATTTCTTATACATAGATACAATTATCATCTATTAATATATAATGTTATTCACACTTTAAACATTTAAAGGAATCAACATTTAATTAACAAATTTAACAGTTGAAAATTAAGCATTCATAACAAAATTATTAATAGGATAGATCAAAATAAATTTATTAACAAAATTCTCTAAAATAAATTTATGCTAATTAAAATTCTTTATATATTCCATCCTGATTAAATAGATCATAATCACAAGGTGATATATTAGTATAATGAATTTAATTAAGTTAGATTCCATCAAAATAAAACTAACCATCATTAGTAGGTTATAATGTTTCCTCAAAATTAATATTTGATTTTAAAACAAACACATTTTAACAGATAGGATATAGATACCACTTTTCTGGATTACTTACACAATCATAACAAGTAATAAAATTATCCTTAATTATTGAAGGACTAAATATTTCATGATAATTTACCATTAATAACAATCTCCATCATACTAAAATTATCCATATTTACATTTTTTATTTTTATATCTAATTTCTTCTTTTATCAATTTTATATTGGATTCTTTGTAATCTTAACATTAATTTTCATTATCAATAGTATCATATGGACATATACAGACTTTATGTTATGAAAGATAGATTCTTCTTGATTCTTATGAACAAGACAAACAATCCTTATTTGTTGGACCATCACAGTCTTAACAACTAAAATGACAGCTTAATTTGATTTGTTCGTTATAACAATTAAAAAATTCTAAATTTCTCACTTAAACAATTAAATAAGGAGGGAATATTTTTTGCAAATCTCCATATTATATTTAAAACTGAAAATTATGAAATTAATACACATCATATTCTATATTATATAAATTAATTTCCTTTTCATTATAGAATGTTATTTCCACTTTTAGTTTAGACTTTAATAATTCAACTTTTAAATAATGCCATAGTGTTATTTAGTTTTCTATTTACCATTTTTTCTTTAATAAAAAAGGATCATCTAGAAAATCAATTGAAACATCTGGAAAAGTATAATTATATGTAGTAATTTCTATCTCATTGTATTATGGAGTGAAATGATAAAATAGTTAAAAAGGAGACAAATTTTAATTCTATGATCTAGGATTTTATAAATTGGCTGAAACCTTCATTAATTAATAACTAAATAGTTCAAATGAATCTTTAATTTCTTTTATTCTAATCCATCCTATTAGAATGAAAGAATCACAATTAGAGTTTTACGATATAAATTAGTATTATTATTAATTTATAAAGTCCTAGTCTTTCATTTTATATTTTTCATTTTTATTACAAACACAAGACTCAATATTTTATTCATATGTCTCTTTAAGATTATCTATGAAATTAAAATCAAATTCTAGACTTTAAATTGATACTTTTTATAACCATATAGGACCTGGAAAATAGGATAATTATGATATTTCAAGTATTTAAGAATTAGGTACTTATAAATTACTTCCAAATGTTAATATTAAATTTAAATCATTTATTAGTGTTTTAATTTCTTTGGTTGTTTATAATAATACTTCCTATTTCTTTGTTACTATCAACTAGAGCTTATCTAATTTTGGCCAAATGATCACTTACAAAAAATACCAAGTATTTTCATAATCAAATGAATCAATGACCAAATCAAATCTCATCTATTAGTTCTAATCATTAATAAATTAAACTGTTTTTATTATTTGGTTGGTCTCATAGTTAAGGCAATCAAAATAAACTATATTTAAATTCTTTTATTCAAAATCCATTGCATTATGTAAATGATAGCAATGACTATTGAAAATTTCTTACAATCCAACTTTAACTATTGCACTAAGTGGGTTGTATTTTGACCATAATCCATATGTAAGACAACTATTAGTTCCATAATTATCATCTGCTAATTGTACTATTTTTCTTTCAAATTAATTATTTGGATTCATTTCAGTGGTTGTAAATTTGTTTGCTATCTTTATAATTAAGATCATAAAACATATTACTGCCATCGAATTAAATTAATATTAATTAATAATCAAATATATTCCACCTCTTTAATATTATGATAAAAATACAAAAATAAACTCATTATCATCTAAAAATTAGTTTATTCAATTTAGAATTATTTTATTCTCAGTATATTTTTTCTTTTACTTTATATTAATAAACAAAGGATAATTTTAATTTGAAACTTATGATTAAAACTTTGTCCTTCTATAAATAAATAAGAAAAAAGAACTATTTTATTCTCATAAAATCTTCAACTAACTTTAGGCTATATTATTTTGCTTATATATCTTTTTTTTTAATTATAACAATAAATAGTTTTAAATTTAATGATAAAGCATAAGTTTTTAATATATCTCTCTTCCTAATTTTATAGTTTCTCTAGGATAATGAATAGTACTTATATAAATATAAAATGAAAAACTCTCCTATTTTATTTAGTCTTCATCTCAATAATATTTAAAAAATGATATATATATATATATAGAAATTATTTTAATAACCACTGTGGGAAAAAAAAACTGTGAATTATCTAAATATACATTAAAAATTCAATTTGAATAGTTATCCCTTTTTAAATTTGAGATAGATATATATCAAAGTTTCAGTCAGTCACTAGACCTATAATTTTAAATACTGGTGCATCATTTTATAATTTTGGTTACAAATTGCGATTTTGCAATTTAATAATTTTCATATTATAAAAATAACAAACAATCAGTTATCTCAATTTCATATAGGTAGAAGTTAGATATGAAATTAAATAATTTTACCTTTCATAAATTAGATTGTGTAATTATTTGTGTTATTAAATAAACTTATTTATCATTTTTCAAACAACTCATTGCTTAAGATAAATTATTATTTGAAATATTTATCAATAATTAAATTCTAAATTAGTTTTTCATTTTTTGTTAGGATCCATAATTATGTTTAGTATTCTAAATATTATTAACATTAATGTAATATTATTTAGAAATGCATTATAGATTTCATACTAAAATAACCAAGATATTCAAAATTATTCCCCCAAACAAATTCTGGATATTCATATTTGGTATTTGGATCTTAGGCTTTTGGGATGTAAAAGAATTAGGCATTTATGAAAATATCTTGTTCTATATTGAATTAAACCAAAGGTATGATGATTTGTAGACAAAATATTTTACCTTTTTTTTTACTTATTAAAGTACTTTTCAATAATTTCAAAAAACAAATTACTGAAAATATTAATGTAAACAAAGAAATACAATATCTTTTTATATTTTAACGGAAGCTTCCAAAAAATAAGAAATAAATTTTTAAATATTACTTAAAATTAACTTTTGTAAATCTATTATAAATTATATGGTATTTATTTGTTATTAACTATTAAAATCCATAAGGTCCTAAAAATAAACCGTAAGTTTGTAAGCCAAATCTGTCTATTAATAAAACTACTCCACCATAATAATTTAAACTATCTTGTGTCATCATAATAGAAATCTAAATTAAAAATTAAGTATAAAAAAGGATATGGATCAATTGTTATCTAATTTTGGATACAGGAAATGACCCTATTAAGAGCATTTTAGTAAAGAATTTTCAATTATTTAATTTATAATTTGAGTAATCAGAGAAAAACTTAAGATCAGTTGATAAGGGCGAGAATCTAAAATTTTAATTAAGGTTAAGTTTAATTATGAGGGTTTTACTACAAGGGTCTGAGTAAAATTGTATATATGATAACATTATGATTATTTTNAACTGTGAATTATCTAAATATACATTAAAAATTCAATTTGAATAGTTATCCCTTTTTAAATTTGAGATAGATATATATCAAAGTTTCAGTCAGTCACTAGACCTATAATTTTAAATACTGGTGCATCATTTTATAATTTTGGTTACAAATTGCGATTTTGCAATTTAATAATTTTCATATTATAAAAATAACAAACAATCAGTTATCTCAATTTCATATAGGTAGAAGTTAGATATGAAATTAAATAATTTTACCTTTCATAAATTAGATTGTGTAATTATTTGTGTTATTAAATAAACTTATTTATCATTTTTCAAACAACTCATTGCTTAAGATAAATTATTATTTGAAATATTTATCAATAATTAAATTCTAAATTAGTTTTTCATTTTTTGTTAGGATCCATAATTATGTTTAGTATTCTAAATATTATTAACATTAATGTAATATTATTTAGAAATGCATTATAGATTTCATACTAAAATAACCAAGATATTCAAAATTATTCCCCCAAACAAATTCTGGATATTCATATTTGGTATTTGGATCTTAGGCTTTTGGGATGTAAAAGAATTAGGCATTTATGAAAATATCTTGTTCTATATTGAATTAAACCAAAGGTATGATGATTTGTAGACAAAATATTTTACCTTTTTTTTTACTTATTAAAGTACTTTTCAATAATTTCAAAAAACAAATTACTGAAAATATTAATGTATTAAAATATTATAAGAAAAATATCTTAATGTAAACAAAGAAATACAATATCTTTTTATATTTTAACGGAAGCTTCCAAAAAATAAGAAATAAATTTTTAAATATTACTTAAAATTAACTTTTGTAAATCTATTATAAATTATATGGTATTTATTTGTTATTAACTATTAAAATCCATAAGGTCCTAAAAATAAACCGTAAGTTTGTAAGCCAAATCTGTCTATTAATAAAACTACTCCACCATAATAATTTAAACTATCTTGTGTCATCATAATAGAAATCTAAATTAAAAATTAAGTATAAAAAAGGATATGGATCAATTGTTATCTAATTTTGGATACAGGAAATGACCCTATTAAGAGCATTTTAGTAAAGAATTTTCAATTATTTAATTTATAATTTGAGTAATCAGAGAAAAACTTAAGATCAGTTGATAAGGGCGAGAATCTAAAATTTTAATTAAGGTTAAGTTTAATTATGAGGGTTTTACTACAAGGGTCTGAGTAAAATTGTATATATGATAACATTATGATTATTTTTTTCAAGTTTACAATTAATTTACCTAAGATTTAGGGAATAAAGGGAAACAATCAGGATAACAAAAAATTCAATTTGTAATTTTAAATACCAAGATAAAAATCATTTAAAATCCGATTATATGAATACTTTATAATTACTTAAATTGTAAAAATTAATTTTCCTTAAATAAGATAGTTTTAATAAAAAAGAGATGTGAAATTAAATATATTTCTTAAATAACATTCAATCGTAAATTTTTTCGCCTCTTAATATAAATATTTATCTTTTACATTTTCAAACTTGTTTTATCACAGCATAATCTTATTTCTTCCCATAATTCAATCTTTTTCCCATGGCTATATTCTCCTTTATGAATTATTGATTAACTTCTAAAAATATAATTCACAAATAAAACTACGAGAAATTATCGCATACATCAACCCAACTACCATGTTTCAAATTTTGGTTGTCATAAGTTCCGCCACCACTTAAAAATTAACTTTGTTAAAAAATACATATTATGAAAGTCATCAAACTAGTGAGATCTAAATTTTATGTCCCATTTGCCAATCTTTCTACCATTCTAATATAAGCCCTGATAAAGGACTTCATTGTGACTAATTTAAATCTTGAATTAAAATAAAACTTCGAAAAATAATCACTCAATTCTATCCAATTACCATATTTAACACTTTCATCATTATATGATCCACCACCTCTATCATATTTATATATATATAATAGTTACATTTATTTAAATGGATAATTACTCGAATATTTGTAATGGATTTCCCATTTTCCAATTTTTTTATCTTTTTTGTATTCTCCATAATATGTGACCTCACTTTACATACTTTTATGATAATAGTATTAATACTTCCGATAATTCCCACTCAATTCCAGCCAAATACCGTTTTTATGTTCTTATTCATCATAAGATCCATAACCACTAAGAATTGTAAATTTATTTTTACATTTTTTCAAATTGTAAATCATTCTTAACTTTAATATCCCATTTCCCAATTTTTTTACCATTTTAATATTGACCTTCATAAATTACTTAGCCATCACTATAATCAAACTATTATTATTCAAACCTCAAAAAGTTTTTGGTTACTTCAACCCATCTTCCATTTTTATATCCTTCGATACTATATATGCCACATCCACTATGATTATTTAATAATTATAATCTACATTAAATAAAATGGCCTATTACTTTATTTCTAATAATGAATTTCCCATATACCACATTTCCTACCGCTTTTATATTCACCACAATATATGATTTATGATTCTCTAAAAATTAATTTTTCATAATCTAAACTTTTAAAAATCATCACTTAACTCAATCCACTTTCCATTCTTTTAACCTTGCTGATCATATTACTCCTATCCTCTATAAATTAATTTGTATATTTATAATTTACATTAGTTCTAAATTCCCTTTCTTTTTACATCCGTTAAGGTTAAGGAAAATAGCCAACCTTTTTCTATTAATATCCCAAGTACCAATCTTTTTACCATTAAGATATTCTCCTTAAAATATTATTTAATTATCACTAATTATTTATTGACATAAACACTATATACCATTAAAAATAATTGCACAATTCAATCCATTAACCGTTTTTCTAACCTTATTGATCATAAAATCCTCCACCACTTTGATCATATATTATAAATTACATCAGTTTATTTTGATAAATGGTATTCCATATCCCTATTCTCATACCATTTATATATTCTCCTTATTCATAAACTTATGCTTTTCTATTTCAATAAAAAATGACAAATACTCAAAATAATTCTTAAATATTTCTTTCCATCTACCTTACTTCATCCCTTTTTAACAATACTAACCACCTACATCTAGTAATATTTCATTTTTCCATGTAGCTATCCACTTTCCAACTTTTTTTGTATCCTAATATTTTCCTAACCATTTTAAATGTTTAATTTGTTCTAAATTAAAAAAGGGCATTTCTGGATCTTCATGGCAAGAACTTAAGATAATTTCACTAAATGTTCATTATAAATATCATTACCTTCTAATAATTTCTCCACTTGAAGATATGATTTTGATCTCTTAATTTTTTGTGAAAACGATTTTTAATTATCTTTTGTATAAAAATTACATTTCCTAATCAAAATACTCCTGATCTCTTGAAACTTCTTAAAGCTTATTAATTTAAGTTTAATCATTTTATGAAGAAATATTCATAATTTATTTTAATTTTTATAATTTATAAATATTATTTATAAATCAAATACTCATATTAATCGAATCTCAGTTATTATTCATCAATAGAATAAATTTTTAATCTATTTATGATACTGAATTAAAAAAGAATATTATCATTACAATTATAATTAAAACTCTTTGATTCAAAATTTTAAGGAAAAAAGTCTCAATATTCTATTGTTGTCATTCTTTTTATATTTCAATATTTGTAGTTACAATCATTTTACAATATAAATAGCTAGTTATCAAATTTTATTCAAATATATCTTAATTTATGATCCAAGAAACATTCTTATTTATTTCCCTAAATGAATTTTTAAAACAACAAATATAGGATCCTCCATTCTTATTAATAGAATCAATGGACTGCTAAAAATTAATTGTTTGTTTAAATTATCTAATACCAATCCTACTCTTTTTGGCGCATCCAATGTTTTTATTATCATATATTGCTATAATAATATAAACCAAAAAATGACCCGATGATATTATTGAATCAATTATGCATTCATTTGAATGATAAAAGCGTTTAATTATTTCTGTTCTGTCTGTAAATAAATACTCAGCCTTATAAGCCTTATAATAACAACTATTTAATTTATCTAAAATATCTAATGTTTTACTTAAAAATAGAATTATAAGAAACAATATTTCCCCTTTTTGTAATATTCTGGTTCTCTGTCATCTACTTTAAAGGAGCAATAAAAGAATTTATATTACAAGAAAGGAATCAATGAAGAAATTAAAAAAGTTTTATTAATAAGTGAACAATTTTTAAAATAATGAAAAATTCATTTTTTTTTATTAGATGCCACAAACTGATTAATCTTTTCAACTTTATATTGCTATAATATCTCTTTAAAGAAACAGCATTAATAAGATCTACCTAACCTGTGAATCGAGGCAAAATCATAGAAGGAAGTTCGAAGACCAATCAACATTATTATGAAAGAAAAGTTACCAATTATAAAAACCAGATTAGTAATATGGTAAATTGATAGAAGATAAATAACAATAAGGGTTAAAATAATCTAGCTAAAGTAGAGATATTTATGAAAATTAAACACCAGATGATTAGGTCGATAAGATTATAGGGCAACTTTTTAGCTCTAAATAATTGAGAGAAAAATTATACAAGAATAATCAAAAAGAAATCATTATTTTAATTATAATAACAGCCTTAGAGAGTAAATATCAATAAATAATATAATACCTAATTAATATTAGTAGCCTTGAAATTAAACCTGATAATGATTTCAATTTAGACTTTGAAGAGGATAATTATAGGCCATCAAATTTATATAATATATCATAACTTACGATGAACAAGTATAGATTCATAAATTCATCAAAATTTGCCGATAATAAAAAATTATATAAGTAAAAAAAATTTGGTAAACTAATAAAAGCTTCAATTTAACTTGTTATTAAATTATCTGAAATTTTATTATTAAAAATGAAGTTGTATAATTAGAAATTTAAGAAAAAATTAAGGAGAAAACTCTATACAGACTGCTGTGAATAAAGAAGTTTTTCCCATTTGAAGGATGATCCATTTATTCTGTTTCATAGATAAGGATCCCTCTAAACAATAATTAACTTTATATACGATGAATTTCCAAAAAAGGATTAATTTTGGAGGTATTGAGTTAATTTTTGAGTATCATCCAATAGCTTTACTTATGTGAAGATTATCAGGTTTCTCAAATTCTTCTTTAGCTCAATCAAAGCAACTCCATTCATTTGATCTCATGGCAAATATTTACGATATACCCTAACAGTTTTACGATAATTTATAAANGATAAAAGCGTTTAATTATTTCTGTTCTGTCTGTAAATAAATACTCAGCCTTATAAGCCTTATAATAACAACTATTTAATTTATCTAAAATATCTAATGTTTTACTTAAAAATAGAATTATAAGAAACAATATTTCCCCTTTTTGTAATATTCTGGTTCTCTGTCATCTACTTTAAAGGAGCAATAAAAGAATTTATATTACAAGAAAGGAATCAATGAAGAAATTAAAAAAGTTTTATTAATAAGTGAACAATTTTTAAAATAATGAAAAATTCATTTTTTTTTATTAGATGCCACAAACTGATTAATCTTTTCAACTTTATATTGCTATAATATCTCTTTAAAGAAACAGCATTAATAAGATCTACCTAACCTGTGAATCGAGGCAAAATCATAGAAGGAAGTTCGAAGACCAATCAACATTATTATGAAAGAAAAGTTACCAATTATAAAAACCAGATTAGTAATATGGTAAATTGATAGAAGATAAATAACAATAAGGGTTAAAATAATCTAGCTAAAGTAGAGATATTTATGAAAATTAAACACCAGATGATTAGGTCGATAAGATTATAGGGCAACTTTTTAGCTCTAAATAATTGAGAGAAAAATTATACAAGAATAATCAAAAAGAAATCATTATTTTAATTATAATAACAGCCTTAGAGAGTAAATATCAATAAATAATATAATACCTAATTAATATTAGTAGCCTTGAAATTAAACCTGATAATGATTTCAATTTAGACTTTGAAGAGGATAATTATAGGCCATCAAATTTATATAATATATCATAACTTACGATGAACAAGTATAGATTCATAAATTCATCAAAATTTGCCGATAATAAAAAATTATATAAGTAAAAAAAATTTGGTAAACTAATAAAAGCTTCAATTTAACTTGTTATTAAATTATCTGAAATTTTATTATTAAAAATGAAGTTGTATAATTAGAAATTTAAGAAAAAATTAAGGAGAAAACTCTATACAGACTGCTGTGAATAAAGAAGTTTTTCCCATTTGAAGGATGATCCATTTATTCTGTTTCATAGATAAGGATCCCTCTAAACAATAATTAACTTTATATACGATGAATTTCCAAAAAAGGATTAATTTTGGAGGTATTGAGTTAATTTTTGAGTATCATCCAATAGCTTTACTTATGTGAAGATTATCAGGTTTCTCAAATTCTTCTTTAGCTCAATCAAAGCAACTCCATTCATTTGATCTCATGGCAAATATTTACGATATACCCTAACAGTTTTACGATAATTTATAAACAATAAACTCTTAAACTCAATTCTTTTTATTAGGCTTTGTACCTGGATTAGGATGCGCACAACAACTAAATTCAAATATTTAAGAAATGAAATTTAAGTAAATAGGTTGCAACAAATAATATGTTCCAATATTCTTAGATTAATAAAATGCCTTTATATGATTCATAGAAATTAGATTTTAGATACTAAGAAATAAATAAAATACTAAAATACATAAGAATAGTATTCTCTTAAAAGAAAAATTATAAGTAATAGAATGGTTATTTGAATAATTATACATGCATGCTTATATCCTATAAAAAAAAGGTTAACTTCTATAATGGAGTTCATTAAGGTCCTTTTATTTGACATATACTTTGACAAATTGGTAGATAATTAAGTAAAATAGATTAATTAGTATGAAAATTAAATGAATTAGAATTGCAAATGGTTTATAAAGACTACTCAAAACTACAAGAATTTTCAAAGAAACTTATGATGTGGCAATCACTCCTGTTGATAAATGTGTCAAATCAGTGACACAATAATTCCTCAGCCTTTCAATAGAGTTTGGTTTTAAAGTCAATACCAGAATTCATAGTTACAAATCAAATTCTAGATCTGGATTAAAAAAAACCTAGAGAATTTAGGTTTTGCAAAAGTCAAAAAAAGTTATAATACCTTAAAGTATTTAAATCTGAGGATATATTATTGAAAATAGAAAAATACAACAATCAAAGTGACTTCTCTAATTAATCAATTATGAGATCTGTTAATAATTGTATCTCTAAGACATATGGGTTACCTTTAGAAATCATACATTAAACCTCATTAGTATTATTTTACTCCACTTTTTTTAATTTTCAAGATAAAGAAATATTGAGCTGATAGAAATTGTATAGATTATCATTAAAAAAATTCTTCAAAATATGTGTTTAAATTCTCCATATAAGATTATTCATGATATATTATAAAATTTTGAATGTAAACATCAGCTATAGTCCTATGGAATGCCTGGGCAGATGAAAATAAAATCTAAATAATCTTTAGGGTTTAGACTAAAAAACTTGATAGGGGAGAAAGGAAGTTAGTATCATAGCCTCTACCATTAATTCTTATTCTTTTACTTTTTCCTCCACTGACAATAAATTAAAAACCTAGTCCTGATAGAAAGTCAGTATGAATAGAATGTACCTCTTTGCCCTTGAAATATTGATTCCAAAGAGGCAATCAAGAAATTACTATTACAAGATGGCCATTTGGAATCAGCCTTATTCTGGTAAGAACTGTTCGCCAGTTATTATTTTTCTTGGTACCCTTAACTTTCCGACTAATTCATAGCTGCTCTTGCCTTTCGAGATAGGTAGTGCCTTTGAGTTACTCCTCAAGCAGAATAGGAAACTTCCAGTTTTATCAACTGAATCATTGCTCAAAACAATTTTATTTTATTGAGCAATGTGAATAATAATATTTGGATTAATCCAAATAATTATATTAAGAAGGAATGGTTAACTTTAAAATTTGAAAGTAAATGTCAGAGTCATTTCTTAATTGGCCCAAAGTCTAAATACAGAATTTATGTTATTTTTAATTTCTCAAATCGATTTTATTCAATATTAAAATAAAAGAGAACCATTCCAAATTTATCATAGAATGAAGTTACTTGAATTAGAAATGATAAGAGCTAAAGCACAATTTTTATAAATTAGATTTTCATTATACTTTAAAACAAATCACTTGCTTTTTTATTTTATCCTGAAGTAATAATAAAACAATTTTTCTATTAAATATTACTATGTTAAATAATAATTACAATAAGAATTTTTCAAAACATCCTGAGTTTATATTTTTAGTTATTTTACATTTAAAATTAAAACGATTTAAGTGAATTATTTTTTTGAATTTTTCATAATTAAA